GGAATCGAGGCAGATGACAGCAAAGATGAAGACTTCAACAGTAGCAAACACGAAGAGTTCATAGTACAAAAAACTCACAAAACATCCTCTGGATAATTACTCTAACCACAGAGGGCACCCAAGGGAAGACTGCTCTGCTGAGGCGACAGTGGAATAACAGGATAACTTGGCAATACCCACAGAAACATGATGGAGCTCTGCAGCAACTAGAAGCAGTGCTCTGTTATGTGTGACTGCTCTAGGACTCACTGCAGGGCTTGCTGTTCAGTTAATGGACATAAAGCCGTGGCTTTAACTTTCTTATTTTCTGACTTTCCTATCATCACATTGCTTGTGATGTGCAGTATTCTTTTCAAGACTGATTTCCCTGGCCCAGTCATCGTGCAGCTGGACATGTGAGGACAGTTTAGGAACTTGTTTATTACATGACCAAGATATCATGAGCTCTCAATAAAACAATAAAAATCCTGTTGAAACTGAGAAGAAACCTGGTGGTTCTGTTTATCAGTAGAATTTCAATAGCAGAAAATGAGAAAGATGCATTGTTGTTGCATTATGATGAACTGTATCTCCTGTATAATATGAACTGTATATCTCCTACTTTACAGGATGCTAAAAACATTGATCTATATTATTACCTTCACCCCCTACACTGTGTACAAACTAGGTGAAACTCAGGGAACATGCACAAAAATTGTGCAGTGCAAATCTTAAAGAAATCTTAAAGAAGCCAGGTTGTAAAGCAGATTACCAGAAATGCTCAAATAACCTTCGTCAGTAGAAAATAATATTTTATTAAAAAACAGCTTGTAGGTTGCAAATGACTATATCTTTCATCATTTCCATGGTTATATTGAGGCTTCCAAAGCACAAGAACTTGTACTGGGCAGATGATTTATTATTGACTAAGTAGGTATAACTGAACAAGCAAATCAATGTATTGTTATATCAGGAGTAGAGAGTAATTAATCAAAAGTCTATTATCTCATGATAAAATTTATAATTAACTACCGTATAAAGCAACATATTTTTTCAACATCAGCAACTCCTGTGATTAGCTTTTGTGAAGCCTGAAAAGCTGTGCCACATTTTCCTAAGTCCATTTTCTGCTACATAAGTGAATACATCCTATTATTGCTGAAAGATGTATTTAAAAGACAAGGGATTCCCATGAATTACAAAATACCTGTTACTCAATTTCAAATGAATGATGTGAAGTCATAGGGAATTAAATATTTTGATTCCACATATGGAAAAAGATAATTCCTAAAATACTGTTCAGATGCCAAAGCCAATTCTTTTTGAGGTGCCTGCATAACATAAACTGGAAAGTACTTATTACTTCCCTGAAAACTTTTTCACAAGACAGGAAGAATGACTTTTTCTACTTGACACACGCTACTGTAATTCGCAAGGTCTTAGTGAATTCACTGGAGTAGAATGTCCAAAGGTATAAAAAGGGTAATATGCCAAAAGAAAATAAAGATATAAACATAAACATAAACATAAACATAAACATAAACAAACATAAACATAAACATAAACACAGACCTGTGTGACAATTCGAGGTATGGTATTCACACTCGGACTGAGTGATAAAGACTGAGTTCCGATGGGTTAAGTGTTAACCTAACCTACACAGCTATAATCAACAGGTTGTCAGAAGTATGCCTCAGGCCTAACGATGAGGACATTATTTGTCTGAGATATTTTTAATGGGAAATGGCACAGGTAGCGTACTGTGATACTATCTTTTTAAATTAGTCATGTATAATTATCAGAAAATTTCCATTTGGGAGAGGTATCGTATATGAGGAAGAAACTGTCTGAGAGTCTGCAAGACTGGAATATCTGTACCAAAATCTGTACTGTTAACCAAAATCTCATCACAAGAGCTCTGGCTGGAACACTACTTCCTTGGTCTCACTGCATTTCTGGCAGTGCAACAGTTAGGCATAGCAGTTAGAAAGTATGGAAAACAATGGGTCTATGATCTATGATCTATGTCCCATGAAGCTGAGTTACAAAATGCAGTGAATACACTACAGAACAAGCCATGATAGCTAAAGGGGGAGTGGATGCAAATCAAAATAAATCCACAGTGATACCAATCCTAGGCTAGGATCTAAACTAGCATCACTAGACCTTTTCCTAACCCACTTACTCAGTACCAGAAATCTCTGACAAATTTCTTTTGCTTTCCCTTTACAACTACTTCTGACAAAGAAAGTAAAGTGATGTAAATAAGATAAGCATTATGGTCATATTATGATAGGACTATAATGTGCTTTGCTGTACTTGGCACTGCTTGTGTATACTCTAGTTTGCATTGCTTTTGGTCCTCTTTTCTCAAAACTTTTTAATTATTATTTGATATAACATGAATTTCACATTTATGATATATTTTATCACTTTATCACTGAACTCATAATGGGCAGAAATCAGAAGATAATATAACTTTATTTCTTTAATGTTTTTCTTTTATATGAAAAGGGGAGAGGGGAGGAGGCATAGCTCCTATTTCACATCTCAGGAAACAAGCTGCTTCCTTGGTCTTACTGAGATCTGGAAATTTTCCATACTAATAGAAAACATTTCTTTCTAGCACTGGAATAATATTTGTGCAACTGTTTATATTAGCTGATTCCATCTTGCTGAAATAGGTCCAATTTTGCTTTTTCAGATGAAATTGCAACATTAGCTGGGTTTTTCATTTAGACAATATTTCACACAGAAGTAACACAGATTTTAAAAGATCTGTGATACTCTTTTCTTAACACACAAATTCCTTTGATTTTCTTTCAGTAAGCTAAAGAGACAAAGAGGAGATTTTGATTAATGATTACATTATGTTTGTGTGTTGCTGTTTTTTTTTTCATGTTGTCAATACTGCCTTAAACAAAACAAGCCTGTTCTATTTTAAAGTAAGATTCTTGGTATATTTATTTTAAAGAATTAACAGAGCTTTTAAAATATTTGTTTTTAAGGAGTTATATTGAATGAATATACAAAAGATAAATGCATCTTTTATCTAAATAAAAATGTTTGAATAATAGTTTTACTATATGTTTATTTAAGCACTCATACATGGCAAAGATGTTAACTGTTTAACATAATGTTCCCATTATTTTATTGTCCCTTATATTGTTTTATTTTATTTCCATTTCCACATATTATTCATAAGGAATAAGAGTGTACTATTTATGCATCTATATTTCCTTTCCAGTGACAACAATTTAATAAATCATAACATGAGAGATAAGTACATTTTTATCCACTGAAGTGAATTGAAGGTCTACGCTTTCCTGAACTCTGTGCTGACTTTAGTGAAGCTCCAAAGAATGGCTTCAGCTAGTATGGACCATGTTGCAAAGTGATTAAAAGAAATAGATTAAACAGTTATCTCTCATTTAGTTCTATGTTTTTTGTTTTGTTTTGTTTGTAGTTTAGCATGACGTGTGTGTATGTGTGTTTTGGAGGAATCCTAGGATGTATCACATTACAGGAAATATGACAAGAAAAGTGGTTGAGCTAACCACAATTTGAAAACATTTTTGCATAATGAATTTTCTGTTTTTTCTTTCCCTAAAAAGGCTCATTTCCCCCCATGCCTGTTGGAAATCAGCTGATATATAAAAGCTGGGGGTATCAGGAAAGGTTCAGTCAGCAGATACACTTAGAAGAAAACTAGTGTGTATCAAAAAATAAATAAATAAATAAAAAATAAAAGAAAAACCAAGCTTGTCATAAAACCCAAAGTCTGTTTCCACTTTATTTAAAGACATAGCATTTATTGTTCACCCTCCTTTACTGCTATAGTTCCCCTCCACAAGGATGATCAAATTTTTTCTCACTCTGCTGGATTTCAAACTCTTCCTCAGCGATGATTTTGCCACCACTTGTTGGGTGGACCATGCTCATTAAAATATCTAGTAAACTACTTCTGATGTATCGAGACAGTATGTAAAGTAAATCCAACTCTGTCTGTTTATGATACAGAATAGTGACACATATAGCTTTACCCAGGAAAAAAAAGTGACTGAAAACACAAGGAACTACTTGATATTAATTAACCAAGGATAATTCTTCTACTGTTCAAAGATTTTCTCTCTTCCTTTCACATCTTTTTTACCCTCATAACACAAACTAAAACATAATATAAGAAGGCAAGGAGAGAAGTCATCTCTGCTTAAATGACTTCAGTTTACAAATAAACAGTATACAGTAGTTCCACTGAATTGACTAGAAACTGATTAGCTACTTAAGTTTAAGCATATACCTAAATGTTTGGAAGGTCTGATCTTTAGAAGGTTTCAAATAGTTTTGTGTATTAAACGTATATTAAGAAGACCCCCTGGTTTTGCTCCTGAGGCTGAAAAGGTTGTGACCTGTTACAATTACTTGACAAACCAGTCACAGTTTTCTGGTAATACGACTAATTTCACAGTTCTTTGAGATCTGAAGATAAGCATAAAATTCTACATTCCCCTAATACTCTCATTGTACTTTGGGCACGTGTAACATGTGTTTTGCAAGAGTTTAAGTTGGAACAGAAATTTTACCTAAGAATTTATTGTACCACATTAATCGTAATAACCTTGTGAGCATTTTTTAACCATAAAGACTTAAATGAAATTCTGCCCCAAAAAAGTGTAAATCTAGAATCTCTTTATTGAAGTCATTGGATATGTTCCAAACTTAAACAACCACAAATAAAAATAAAGCCTGGCTCCATATCGTCAGCTACAATCAACCATATTGAGAAAGAAGATGTACTGCAGATTATTTTTATATAATTTGTATTTGGAAGGGGCATATTTATTGTTGTCTCTTGATATGATGTCAGACAAGAAAAGAATGGTCATTTATTCTTACCCTTGCAAAATTAGCCTCATAGCTTTGCAGTATAAGATGAACACAAGACTGAGTCATGGTTACAGTATGCCGGGTGTGGCTGCAAAAGAAAGAAATATTCTTTACCTTGACGATATCTGTTACTCTTTTTTTTTTTTTTTTTTTTTTCTGGGGGAGAGCAGGGGGAGGAAGGGCAGGGAATATTCTATCTGTTCTATCTATTATCGCAGATAGTTCTAACGTTTTTGTTCCCAGCAAAATTAGCTAGGTATGCCAGCTGAGTGGCGTTCTCACTGAATATTTGGTATATTTTGCTGAAGCAAAACCAAAGTCTGCTAAGAAACCACAGGAAATCTTAATGAAGTTTGAGCAAAACCCTTAGAACCTACACTAAGTTTGAAAGTCCCTAAAACTTCCCAAAGAGGGGTGCTGTTTTCACAATAAGCATTTCCAGGTTCCTGTGAATTCTGCCTAGAAAATATATCAGTTTTTAAATGGGAATTTCACTGTTAGGCCAATTCCTTTCTCTTCCCACAACAATCAGTGACTGAGGTGTAACAGCAGTATGGAGCTCCCACTTGGGGGAGTCTCACCAAAGTTCTACCAGGAAGAAAACCTCGTGGTGGTGACTTCTTAGACTTCTGGGTTGGTTGTTGTGTTGTTTGGTTAGTTGATTGTTTTTGTTTTGTTTGTTGGTTTGTTTAGTGCTACTAATCTGTCTAACCTATCCTAAAATGAAAGAAATTGTTACCCATTTTAATGTTTGCAATATTCTGTGCCTTTATAATAATACTAAGACTGATACCATGATTAAACTAAACATTTATTTATTTAAGATACTAAGAAATGTTTGACAAATCTCATGTATGTATCTGAACATTACATTCTGGATTAATGTCTTTTTACAATATGAAACTGCTAAGCAGTCCTGTAAACATTGTTGCAGGCCTGAAACAGCTTTTTCTCTGCTTCAGTGCTTAACAGATGGGAAATTTGCTGAGATGACACACAGAGCACCAGGCAGGTGTTGGCGTTACAGCTTGTTCTTTCAGATCTCAGAGAACAGGAAGCTCTGAAAAGTTTCTCTTTGTAACATTTCCCATATTTGCACCTGGTCTATATCTGTTTTGTATTTGGCTCTGCCAGAAAGCACCTTTTAATATGACTTCTAGTAATAAATTACCTTATGAATCAAGGTGCTTGGGATGCATTTTAAAGTGGAGACTGCCATTCACTGACTCTTCTGAAGATAATTTTCACTGTGCATAGTCAGTGTATCCCAGAGCAATATCTACGTGCTAAAATTCAGACCTGATGCTTTTCTGCTTAAATTCTGTAATTTAGTTCCATTACAAAGCTTCTCACTTCTCATGTGAGGAAGCATAAGGGCATATTTGAGAAGAAACTTGGGCTAATAAGACTTCAAGTCTCTTTCATTTCTGTTAGGTTCTTGTACCCAGCACTGCCAGGTCCTGTGTGAAAGCCCTCAGATCTCATCCCAGAGGACTGCAGCCACATATTGCTCCAGAATGACAAATTTTCAGTTCTCTTCTTAAGTTAATCAATACTTTTTAATCACACACACACACACACACATACATACACACACACACACACACACAAAAGACAAAATATCATACCAAAACATTTCAAAACAAATAAATTTTTTTCTTCTGAAGCCCCAAAAATTATTTCCAGGAACCCAGTTCACACACTGCTTTTGTGACAAGCCAAGAATATAAGAAGGAGGCATCACAGAATTTGCTGGCTATTTCACATACTGCCAATGAAGCAAACAGGAGTTATTCTAGACAAGTTGTTCCTTCTGCTTTAGACTGTGTTTCACTCAAGTTTCACTTGACTTCTTTTTTGCTTTGTATGTCTCTTCATATCCCATTTTAGGAATTATGTTGACATGTCATCATTAAAGTTCTACATTTTCTAACAGCATCTCCATTAAGGCCTGTGAGAAAAATTGCTTTCTTTTCCTGATGTCTGTTAAATGCTGAATGTAGTACAGTTATCTGAAAGAAACCATGGGTAAGCATCTGCATTAATATAATAATAAAAAACTAAAACACAGCAATAAAGTGACTTTTTCTTTAAAAATCATTAGTGTGTTCAAGGCCATATGCAACCCTGAAATGAGCAGTGAAGGGAGTTACATAAATAGCAACATTCCCTTGTTTTATGTCAAATTATGATATCTACTGATAACAAAATAATAAAATCACTATCAAGATGATTAATGAGTTGTCAGAGAAAGAAGGTCAACAGAAAGTAATTTTAACGTATTTAACTTTTAACATGATTTTTCATGGAAACAAGACGTGTGTGAATGTGTTGTAAGTGTATTTTTTTTCTGACCATCTGGTTTCTCCTAAAAACTCTTGAACAGCTTGGCAGATATTAAACAAATTTTGTAGAAGGGTGTATGTGGTTTCTATGAAAATAAATGGCCAAGCAGAAAATACAGACCATTCCGTTTCTGAACTTTGAGAAAATGTGCAGAGTCAGTTTGTACGTTACTAACCAATAACAAATCTGCATGGGAGAGGCATCTTATAAATACTCCGAAATAGGGAAAGTTGCTTCATTTCTAGAAACCAAAACAAGTCAAATGTGAGGCACACACTGGTAACAAAATAAACCAGTCCTTGTGATCATTGGGCTACCTGGTTTGAGAAATCACAATATTTTTGAAAGAAAGTAGAAATATCTACCACTTTTTTTTTTTTTTTTTTTTTTTTTTTTTTTTTTTTTTTTTTTTGGTGAGAACTGTTTTGTTTTGTTTTGTTTTGCTTTGAGAATAGTCTATTCCTTGCTGGGCAAATTGGACATTATTACTTGTTGTCACTCTAAATATTATGTTGATCCTGGCAAGAATCTATATTTATTTTGCTTCTGTAATTATTGTTTTATGTCTAACCTAATGTTTCCTGGATTGATTCACTGGACTGTAAATTATCTAGGTCAAGGAAATAATTTAAATTTTTGAAACTGCTATTCTCTTCTGAGTTACAAAAAAAATACTAAAACCAGTAAGCATGCTAGTTTAGAAAAAGATGGGAATTAAATAGGTTTAACTTTTCTTCCAGAAGAATATTTTATTTTATTTTATCTAACTATACTGTTCTCAATAGAAATTACCTTTGTGGTTTTATGCCTAGAATTTGCTCCTGTATCACTGTTCCCTACAAATGTGAAGACATCTTAGAAAACCTCTTCAGTAGCTAGATTTATTTTTCCTCAATATAATGCTGTCAGCAAAGTAGAGGCTTTACCTGCAAGGAAAACATTACAGCACATGACAGTACATCTCTTATTAGCCTGCTAATAAAACAGGTTCTTTTAAGTTCATAACCCCTAATGTTCTTCTGCAAAATAACTTGGGCAGAGCTCTAAATCTTTCATTAGTGACAGCCAAAAGTAAATAATCTATTGTAAATGATGTAATTTTCAAAGCTTATTACTTTGTCCTTGTAAGTGTCATAACAATGCTTGATGGCAGCTTTCATAGCTGACACCTCACAGAATCCCTTTTGGCAAAATTAATCTACTGTTTTTAAAAAGTGCTTATTATCTATACATACCAATGAAACCATTGGAAGATTCCCCTGGGTTCCAGTGAACTCTGAGTCAGGTCACTCACAGATTAATGGGCTTTAAGGCTAGAAGGAATTGGTAAGATCACATGGTAGATCAGTAGCAATTTAGCAAATAAATGCTGCATCAAGCTAGCAACTTGTTCTTGAATGAGAACATATCAGTTAAAAATGAACCCCAATGTAATGGTATCAGTACAGATAATATTCTACCAGCTAAATTGTAGAAGCTTAATGGGAATATGTGCTGGGAATACATGCTGGGAAGAGCTTGGAAGAGAGTCATTAAACATGGATTCCTGCTAATCAAAATGACACAGCACAACTCTGATTTCATAAACCACATTTAAAGGGGAAAAAAAAAAGTACTAGAGAAGCATAGATACATGGATAGGCTTTCTGCTGCCTTTGGGGTATCCATCCTTATTCAGAGATGCAAATATCCTTACTTCAGGTATAGGTGTACACTGGTCATCCTTGCAGGATGGCTGTGGCTACTCGAAGAACACTTTATTAATAGTCAACAAATTTCTTTTAATACCCAATCCAAGATTGTTCAGGGTCAGCCTATATCTATTTGTTCTTGTGCCAACATTGTTCTTTTACTTAAACAGTTCTGTTCCCTTGTGGTGTTTATCCCTGAGGAGAGCAATCTTATCCCCTCTCAGCCTTCCTTTTGCAAAGTTAAACAAGTCACACCCTTCCACCTCTCATTAGTCAGGTTCTCCATTCCTTCTGTCACCCCAGTAGCCTTCACTGCATTGAAAAAAAATAGTTTCTGTTCATTTTATTGCATGTCTTTGACCAGAGTTGTGACTATTCCAGGTGACTCCACACCAAGGCCTAGCACCATCAGCCTGCTCCTTGGCTGTCTTTCTGGAATTGTCCTGGTGGGGACATTTCAAAGGTACATTTGTCTTTTCTCATGGATCTATGGCAGTTTATAGCCTTGCTGTATTTCTTCTTAACTATTTCCCACTAAGAAGGTGCAAACCTATGACAAATGTTTTGTTTTGTTTTTGTGTTTTTTTTTGTTACCAGACCCCAAATTGTGTGCTCATAACATGTAATGAAACTCCATGCAGATGACATTCTGGACTAAATCTCTTCAGGACAGATGAAACAGTAGCAAGAGACTTGCATGCATGGGTAAGAGCACTTAAAGATGAAAGCGTGGAGTGAAATTGCTAAATCTTGTCATTTAACCACAATAGGATTAAGAGTAATGCTTGCTCATACAATAATAAGCATTTAGAGAGAGAGAGAAGGAAGGAAAAAAAAATAGTAGCATCCAAGTGCAGATAAATAAAAACAAATATCGTAAGTCAATCCACAGTGGCTAGATTCATTTGCTGGTAAAGTCTTTTATATTTGGTAGGATTTTTTTATATATATATTATTATTATTATTTATACAGTAAACATTAATATTCTTAATGCTTTCAAACCTTAAAATAAGGAAAACATGAAAAGAATTTTTTGTTGTTTGTTTTGCCTACGTGCCAGCCTGTGTAGAAAAGGCTGTCTTAGATTAAAGTTGTAGAAAATAACTTCACAACTTGCTGACTGTTTGTATCTCCCACATCTTAAGCAAAAGGCCTTAACAGTGGAAAGTGCTTTCAACCTATCCTTGCAACCCCTAGTAATGAAGCACTGCAGTGAAATAGGAGTCAAGGTGTCTCATTTCTATAATGAATGTCCCAATGCCCAAACAGAGTCAGCATTTTCCTTCCTGCTTAGTGTGTCTCAGTGTTTTCTTTCTGCAGTTTCCAGAGGATGGATGGTAACAAGGGTAGTTAAGATAGCCATTCAACACTGAGGTAGTCAGATTACTCTAAGGTAAAGAGACATTATTTCTCTCAGGTAGAACAGAACACTAAGCCCCTGAGTCTGTGTGTCTAAATAAATACCTTCAATATCCAGTAACAGGAAAGGAAACGTGATCTTTCACTGGTTCACGTCTTCCTTTTTTTTTTTTTTTTTTTTTTTTTTATTTAATATTTTCTTACAAAACCTGGAAAGCATTCATTTTGCACAAAGTGTTTTGCTAAGAGGTGTGGGGTGAAAGCAAGGACCAAGCTGTTGTTTGTACAGCAAACAACAAAACATATTTTGATTCAATATAATTTTGTTTTCTTTGAATTTTCTGGATCAGCAGCCAAAACAGAACTTATTTTCTGCTTCCTATTCCACATCTTAGTCACTGCAGCTTCTTGCAGCTGCATGTTTTGACACTTTGACAGAAACTTCAAGGTCTGCCCAATGGCTAAGGAGGAATGACTCTCATTTGGAAGTGCTGTCTGAGGCATGGGGACTGCTTTTTAAAGGGGAACTCTGATCTTGAGATTGAACTGTTTTCCCTTACCTTTTAGGTCCTCATATGTATGATAGTGAAAGAACCACTCAGCAGTGACTTATTTCTTATACCAAAATGGTATTTGCTACCACCAGAGAATACTGGCCTTTTGATCTGATTGTGCATGAAATGTTGTTATTATGGTATTACCTATTACTGAGGTATACCTCAGGCACTGCCTTTTGCTCTCCCAAAAACTGCATCTGATCAGCTAGAATTTCCTCATCAGCAGTTTATAAACAAGGTCATTGTGTTTCCTTGTGCATTCATGCAAATTTAAGGGCAAAGTACCACCTCACAAGGATAACTGCTTTTGACAGTTTATACTAGATGAAGTTTATTTTAGTCTCCCAGTTCAAGCCCTGAATCTTTCCGTTAATGCATATATATTAAAGAAATCATGGAGAGAAAAACAAAACAAAACAAAACAAAACAAAACAAAAAGAAAAAAACATTTTGCATTTGCATTGATCACACCTTCTGTGTTCACCATGTCTTTTTGTTCAAAGATATTTTTTTTCAGAATTGGTACATCACTGTCTCTGACTTCTTTAATGTGTAATCCTTCACTCCCTTCATTTGTAGTGCAGGAAGTCTTCAGCCCAAAGCATATCTTATGCCATCAGACATCCCTCAGAGATACACATTGGCAACTTCCTCAGAGAGGGACACTGCTTTCTCTTTGGAAATGTTAATTATTAACATTTTGTCAAGCAGTAAGAATTGTGTTTTTATGTCAGACTGTTTAGTTCCTGTTATTTTCTGTACAGTTCTGCAAGGTCTCAGAGGTTATCTGTCATTTGTCCTAGCTTAAAGAATATGCTTTTGTAAGCAAGTAGACTTGGCTAGAGGTGTAAAGCTGAAGAACATGTGTTATATATGATTTTCAATTCTTACCCATTGCATATTAAATCTGAATTCTCAACCAAGTAACACCAGCTTGTCAAAATGACTAAATTTGTATTAGCAGAAAGTTTAAATTCCATAAAACAACATTTCACAAGGTTATTAAATAATAATAATAATAATAATAATTGTTTGTATAAGAGCAGCATAAGTATGAGGAATAGTTTTCAATTACACCATTCAGCAGTGACTTTGCAATTGGTTTTTTATTACATTTTTGTTTAGTTAAGTTTGCTATTTCCTATAACATTTTTTTTTTTAATTGTGGCTGTTATTTTTGTTTTCCTATAACATTTTTTTTTAATTGTGGCTGATATTTTTGTTTTCACAATTAGAGAGTAGCACATGAATTTACTTTGACTTAACAGTATGCAATTATATGATGCAGTCTATATTACATGATGGTGTCAACTAGAAAAATAGCAGATATTTTAAAAGAGCTAGAGGAACACATCTATTTAGGCCCTTTTCCTCATTGCCTCTACAGAGTTAAAAAACAGAGACATACATTGCACAAAACACAACCAAAATAAGTTCAAAATCGGTTTGGCAGCAATATTTAAAGACTAATTCTGAAAGATATTAAAGCTATGAACTGGAGATGTATCAGACTTTTAGAGTACTTATTGAGAAGCTGTGGAAAATATTTGGGTCAGTTCAGTTCAGTTACCAGAACTTTTATCATTTTCAGAATCCAAAGATGATTAAGAGCCATATTTTTGTGATATTTGATAAATGTCAAAGTTTTCCAACCCTGTTGATTTGTGTTTCCCTGTATGGGAAAGCAGATAGATTTGAAGACTCTTTATATGTTCAACAACTAACTAACTAAATAAATAAAAATTAAATGGGAAGGATGAGAGTAAAAAAAAAAAAAAAAAATACAAAGAAATGGAAGTATGAAGTATTAGAAGTATTATATTAAAGTATTATCACATAGGATTGCCAAAATGAAATTTATCTGCTTTTCCAGATTATTTTCCTGATAATATCTGTAATTTTTGGAATTAGAGCTGTGGGGTTGAACCACTTCTCAGTGAAAGTTTTGCAATACTTGTTGCTTACAAGATGTTAAATACAACTATTAACGTTTCCACATCACTTGGAATTAAGATGAAAAAGAAGAAATGAATGTATGCTTTCCATTGATTTTTTCTGAAGTTCTTCGACACTGTCATGGAAACTCTAAGAACCATTACTGCTTCCTTCCTTCCTTCCTTCCTTCCTTCCTTCCTTCCTTCCTTCCTTCCTTCCTTCTTCCTTTCTTTCTTCCTCCTTCCCTCCCTCCCTCCCTCACAATACAGAAGGTCAGTGGTCTTCTCTGCCACATGCAAAGTGCATTCTTCAAGAAGCACCTGAAGTAAAGCCCCAGGTTATTGTAGAGGGTGTCTGAGATTATGGTACTTTCAAGATGCCCTTATGTACCTGTTACATGGCAAACAGAGAGACAGGCAACAGTGACCTGATGCAAATGTTTCTTCAGCTATTAATTACTAACAAGCCCTAAATAAACCCTCTTTCTCTCTGGCTGTGGCAGCAGCAGTAAACTACACCCCTACAGATGGGAAGAGGCAACTGGTAAATCATACCTTATTCTCTGTGACTGGATGGACAATTGTTAGCAGCAGCAGAACCCATTGTAGTATTTATTTTTCCCATATCCTTCTTCTTTTGCTGTGATTCTGGCAAAAAGCTGATACTGTTTGGGAACAAATAGATTTCAGCGATGTCAGGATTTCTGTATTATTTTTTTCCTTTGCACAGCAAATAACACATCAGTACTGTGGCTCATAAATACTCAGAAATGCCAGTGTCCACAAATAATATGATTCACTTTGGGGTTTTAAAGGGACCTGGAAAATACAACCACATACGTTTTAGGAAATCTCTCATTTGTCATGCTAAAAATTATAATTTGACCTTTCCTATTAAAATTTATTGTCACATTCCAAAAGCCCACCAGAAGCTTTGCAGGCCTGCTTCTTTGTGACATTGTACTTTTCCATAGACACTTTCAAGAGTACATTTTTTTCATATGATACCAATGCACAGCCTGGGAGGCTGTTCTTATAGGACCTGTTCTCCTTACCTTATGTTTTCATTTGATCCAGGAGGCAGTATTATCTTACCGACAGCTGTCAGCATGGAAGGTTGGACTCTGCCAACTTCTCTCTGTATGGCAGTGCTTTTTCATGGGACCACTGAACTTGGTAACTGTCCTTTTTAACAAAACAGATTGTGAGGAACCTGTCACTAGAAACAGCAGTAACTACAAAACATCTAATATTGTTGCCTTTCCCAAGAAGGAAGCATAACTATGGCCAGCATCCACACACATAACATGGCCAGGTTCATGGCTCCAGGGTGTTTGCAATCATATTTGCTGCCTCTGAAAAGACTTGCTAAAGTCTGTTGAGCCATGCTGCTGGAATGAACTGATGAAATCATAAGAAGCAATAGCAAGTGTTATGTTCAGATTGCTAGCAGACACAGACCTCGCCTCCTTTTCTCCTGAAGTAACCTTCTGGGGCATATTTGTTCTATGATTGTTTTCAATGTGTTTTATCATGCTTAATGTCCCCACCCTCTTGGGATCATAGCCAAAACTGTCTCTGCATCTGCAGAATGTTGGCAAATGGCTGTTGTGCCATTCAATAGTATTGGATACTTAAGCTGAAGTAGTTTAGCAATTATAAGCAGAGATGGTCTCTACTGAGTAATATTTGGTCTCCTCACAGGGAACTTCTCTGGCTAGGTGCTGTGGAAAAAAAAAATCTTGCCAGAATTGAAAGTAGACCACTGTTACAGAAGGAACAGATAATCTCTGGGAAATGGCCAGCAACTCTTGAGACTTTGAAGAAGTTATCTCAAGTGATCCTAGCCTGACTAGAGATTATCTTCCTCTTCCACGTCATTAATGTTCTTAAAGTGATGGGCTGTACCTCAAGGTCAGAGTTCGGCTTAGGCAAATTCATATTCACCAATTCCTGGGATACATGTTGCAAAACTTCCATATTAGTGGAATAGCTTCCTTTTCTTCCAAAAGTTAACTTTCTTCTATTTCTCCTTCTTCAGTACTGCTCAGAGGAATACTGCCCATGAACAGCCTGTACTGCTGTTCCTAGAACCATAAACTCAGTTTGTTGCACTGGGAATTGTGAGGCTGCCAGATCAAACAGCAATATTGCGTTATCAGAGGTATTTTTCTCTCTTCTTTGAGTCAAAGACTATTAATAATTCCCAATACTCTTTTTCATCATTCAGGAAGTATACTTAAGTATGTAACCAGCCTGCTCTCGTGCTGCTACTATTTCTGTTCCTCTCGGCAGTCTCTTCCCAGCACAATTGTAAACAGGCCCCGTTTCAAATGACCAAATTTTCAAATATGAGGGGCAGACTGCAACTGTGACCAGAGTTTGCTATAGTGAGCCAAGAGCATCATCAGTGTGAACTCAGTCAATGGATACATGCAATAACATGTAACAGAAACAGAACTTTCTGACATCGAACTGAAATGAAATAGTAAAGCCCCAATAGTATAAAATATTTTTTTCAATTATCTCAAGCATGTTACTGGAAATTTTGTTGAACCCAATACAATTTATGGCTTCAATTTACTAGTATTTTCTGTGGGAAAACACCATTAGTGAAAAAAAAAAAAAGAAAATTGACCAATTTTAAAGAAAACAGACACTCATAGATCTGATCTTTAGAATATTCTCTGATTGCATGAAAAATCCATCCTCTGTTCAAGGGTGCCAGTATTTAGGAGCAAACTGAGGAGCTAAAATCCTACTAAAGACACATGAATGAACAGCCACCTGATTTTACTTGTGCAGTAAAAAGTCTATACAGCAACTATTGGCATATATGCACTACAGCTAAATAAAGTGTTAGTAATGAATCTATTAAGTAAACTGAAATGCATAGCAGACTCACAAGTGCCAGAGGCAACATTTTTTTTTAATCTTCCATCTTCCAAATACAAATATGATATCTTCCAGGAGTCATCCTGAGTTAATAATTCATTTCATCCTCTGTAGCTGTAAACATCCTGGTATGACAGACAAAATATTTAAATTATTCTTGATTTATGACCTTATTTTATTCCATGGCTAGGATGCCTCTAGCATGAGTTTCTCTAAGGTGAGAGAGCATTAGGCTTAATCTAAAATTACTTCACAATGGGTTGAGAATTAATCATCCATATGATCTCAAACATTTTACACTACCCTGAACTCATTAACTTCTTGTTTCCTATGTGTGTATGACACAGATACAGATATACATCCACATGTATGTTCTGTCACCTCAGCATAATTCTTGGACCCCACGATTGTTAAGACTTTCAACAGGATATGACAGTCTTTATGCCACAGAGAAACTCATCTACTAACAGAAAAATCTCCACATGTTAAACTTGGGCAGTGTTGTGTCTCAGGGATTTGAATTCACTGTTACGTTATCCAACGCTCTTCCAGAAAATCTGGATTTCTTGTATGTTCTGTGTCATGTCTGTTAGTGGGTATCTAAGATTCCTTAAAGCATCTAAAATTACTTAGGATGCTGTGTTTAAGCAAGTGAATCCTTCCCAGTATTGTCTCTGAACTGAAGCAAATTCTGTATTATGAAATACGGTGTGAGTCAAAGATTTAGTTCAGTATTGGACTCCTGAGCAAAAACTGATACGATAATTTCTATCAAAAATTCTTAAGGAACAGGAGATCTTCCCAGAATAGTTACTGTTCAAAAGTCAGGATATTCACCCTCTTAGTACACATAGACGAAACCCATGACAGACTTCTTGTCAACTCTGAACTAAAGCAAAAATGTAGTTATAAGGGGTAAATCTACATTTTTGTTAACTATTGTTTATTTTCCAATTACCGTACTAAAGACAATCTATAAATACACCAAAGTTCTTACAATTTCAATGTAAAGTTGACATTTTCTACCTGTATGAATAGTCCAGTTTCTTAAACATATGGGCATAAGGCCTGAGTTTGTTTTTCTTTGGATATTTGGAAGAAAAATAAACTTAGTTACAACTTTATGATTTATTTTGCCTTTATGATTTACTAAATTGTGGTTACCACATACTGCAGATTCCCTTTCCTCTGTTTTTTTCTAGTTCTGGTTTTCTTATTTTGCATTAATTCTGACTCCATGTGCCTTTCAGAATTGCAGCATTGAAAACTCAGCTGGATTCCATAACTAAAAAATGCTATCTGATTCCAGATAAAGAGAGAGAACAGAAGTTGTCTCACAGTAGGCTTATACTCGAGTTAATTGTTTTTACCTCATTTTTTTTCTCAAATAAAATACATTTTTTTAAACAGCAGTCACAACAATTCATTTTCATGATAACTGACATCTGCTAATGCAACTTCTAAGTCAAATGAGCAACAAGCCCAAAGAAGAATTCAATAGATTCACACAGATCGTTCTACTTTTCCTTCTGCATCTATCCCTCTTAGTTCATGCTGTTCCTGAAAACTATTTTTGCAATATCTAGATGAAATAATTAATCCTCAATTATCACAAGACAGATTTGTTAATCACGCTTGATAATTTATGGATTTTTATTTCCCATAGTATTAGAAAGCGACCATTGAAAATAATTAATTAGTTTAGAATTTAAATAAATCTTGATAGTATATATTTTAACTTTAAAGTTTAAAACAAACAAATGAACAAACAAACATCTAACATAAAGATGGCAATTTCTGCAGCTACATAAATTGATCATTAAGTCTAACATAAACAAGCATACTTCAGGAAGCACTGATTTCAGTGTCGTCATCTCAAAACAAGGGCAGTCCCCTGAATCAGAACAGTATCAATATACAGCCTGGCAGCCTCATGGTTAAGACACTTTCTAGAGAGACATGGATTTTGGTTTATTCATAATGTTGAAAGTCTTGAACTGCTTCGTCCTATACTCTACCAAAGTGCACTAATCCTTAAGGTGTTCCGCAAACAGAGCACACCTCATACCCTTTAAATTTAAAGAAAGTGGACCAAATAACCATATTTTGTCTGAAGTTAACACGAAACAGGACAGGTAAATACTTGGGCAGATAAATTTCCAGACTACTGATCAGATTTAGGTTTCAAACGTCCTTCTTAATCCTAACAAGATGGCAGCCACTGAAGGGAAGAATGTAATCTTGTGCATGACTACCAAAAATATAGCACTGTTCAGCAGAGCTTCCAAGTCTCAGTCTTGGATTTCGATTATTAAAACTCATCTTCAGCCCCACTTTTAGCTTTTTAATATTTTTGTAGATGTTGGCTTGAAAATCCCCGAGTCCCCTGAACTAGAGTAATTGTACTGCTACAAAGAACTGGAGAGGTTTACCACAGGAAAGCTGCTACTACCTTTCACCACCTTGTTGTCTGCAGTGAGGCATGCCAAGAGCTACTGGTGCTATAGTACAGTGTCAGCTACCGTTAGGACTGCTTCCTTGGCATTACAAGAGCTAGTGCTTGCAGTATTGTATCAGCTAACCATTAGGACTCGTAATAATGGTTGAGAGATGTAGAGCAAAAGTGCAATAAATTAAAAATGTTAAGCACAGTGTTTTCCCAGTTACTGGTTCTTTCTCCAACTTTGCTGATTTCTGAAGCTCTCTCACCCTTTTGAGTTTGCTACTGTGTTAGCTCTGACTGATTAGTCATACACCTAAGTGAATCAGCATGAAATAATTCAGCTTCATTGGGTTATATTTAGTCATTCAACATTTGATATGTCTTAGTTCCTAGATTCCTAGTGTATGATTTTCAATTTGCACATACTTACTCTCTAAATTTTTGGAACTCTTTGCAGGCTGTTGAGACATCCTGCCTTGAACTTTCTGTGCTCCAGATGCCAGATGTGGTTAGTAACTTTGAGTTAGAGCCCAGACACTTGAAAAAGGCCAAAAGGTTCTGGAAAAAGAACCTGCAGTGATGCCAAAATCCACCCTCACTTTTCGTATGAAATAGGTACTCTGAAAATTTTAAGCAAACAAATGCTCCATCCACAGGCCCAAAGCTGAAAAAAAAAAAAAAGAAGAAAAAAGAAAGAAAGAAAAAAAATGACAAAGAGACCCGGGTGCTCCAGCCTAGCAGTACAATTTGTATTTACTAGCCACTTCTAATTCATCACATACAGATTTTACTTCTGTGTACTGTATCTGGGAATCTCCTACATAATTAACTTCAAGATAACATATTTCAAGTCTACAGAAGCTAGACATTAATTAAATGAAAAGGAAAAAGGAATAACCAGGCTTACTTGTAAAAGCAAAAAGTCCAAAATTAAATAAATATACATATTCAGGAATGAACTACACTATGATAATAAGAGGCGTTGTACTATTTTTCCCTATGAAAAACTTCTTTCTTTTATATAATTCAAGATGGTCAATAGGCATTACAAAGGCAAAGAATACTTTTAGCATATTTTATAACTTTATAATTTATGAAAATAACATATTCATAAAATTTTGTTCTAACCACTGCTAATTTTTTCCTTCATCCACTACCAAATATTGATTACGTTTTTTTATTCCTTCATCCCCTACCAAATAATGATTCCCTGTTTTTTTTTTTTTTGTTTTGTTTGTTTGTTTGTTTGTTTTTGTTTTTTTGTGTATTATAAACTCTGCAGTGATACTGTCTTTGGAATGCGGGATCATGATCATACCAGATTCTTAGTTCTTACAAGCATAAGAGGCACAGCTTGTACAAAACTAATTTAGATTCATACAGAAACTGTGACCTTAGTGCTTGACCTTTATCTCACTAATTCCAAGAGGAGAAAGAACAAAAACCTGTACTTTAAAAGTGCTAAATGTATCGCATATCAGAGTTTCTTTCTCATTTGAACAAGAATAATTTTTCTGAGGTATTGAAACAGATAAATTCATTAAAAGGCACTTTGAGATATACATATATGCTTTTCTTGGCAATGAACTATATCAGCCCCACCTAATGCCACCTAAGCCAGGAAGAAAAGTATAAACTCATTCTGTAAATATTATTGCCATTTTGCCAGGTTGTACCAGTTTGGGGAGTTCATAATGGGATAATTTATCTTTCAAATAGAAATTAGTGACATGGAGAACTGGAATATTTCCTAGGTTTTGAAAGGTATACAGAATAGGTGTATACATATGCACACGCATAAATGTATTTTGAAGACTGAATGTATATTAATATAGAGGGAAAGACAGAATGGAATATGGAATATACCTAAAGTAGGTAAAAAAAAAATAATCAGACTTGCTTCAAGAATAATCTGTTTTCTCTTGAAAAAAAAAAATCTGAGAAGCATGGAATAGATTTAGTTCACTTAGTGTGCATGATAGTGCTGCTATAATACTGAAAACATGAGTGTTCTCATTCTGAATAAAGACCCACATATCTCACAATCCTGTCTTTGACAGTCATCAGAGCAAAACAGAAGATACATATTTTGCAATTCTTTTACAATATACTATCCCACATTCACTGCTAGTAACTTTGCATTTAATTAAAATATTTTTTCTTAAAGATTTCCTGAACCCATGTAAAATTACCACATTGCATGGCAATCAGTTACACAGTCTAGCTGCATTATGTATACTGTAGTAATTCTATAGCCATTAACATGAATATGCAAATATTCCCTTCAAGTTAAACATTGATACTCAGAAGTGGAGCTGGAGCCAAATGAGCAGACACCTAAAGTACAGGGTGCAGATCTGTGCACTGCAAGCATAAGATCTACCCTTGCTCGCAAGCTCAAAGCAACTCAGCAGAAAACTTTCCTCTTTAGATCACCCATCTAACATTCTCCATGGACTGTATAAAAAGCCTAAATGCATCATTTAAGTGATCTGAATCTACCAGCTGGGACAAGGTGACTCATATTTTGATGTCGCATCACTTACTTGGGGGGTGATTGAATTTATTTTGGTCATTAAATGTAGATTTATACATGATACATATATATGTATAGCAATGCCAACTGGCATCATAAGCCTGAGAAAAAGTTCTGTTGATGTGGACTTCTTTAATTTCAGTGCTGGATTATGAGTATCTTCAGATCACCAGAGCACTTTAATTAAACTCTGTTGAAGACTTCTGCTGCAATACTGTAAATTACCTTACAGATTTTGCTGTCTCAGCTGCTTAGAAATGGATTACGTAGTCCTTTGCACCTAGACTGTGATTTACAAGCCAACCTAAAATTTCCCTCCAAAACTGGTAGGATGTTTTTACTATATCCTTGTATATCTAATAAAAGTTTATACAGAACATACTTATCTTGTCAGAGCTTCATTATTTGAGGCAAAAGAAAAGGCAATAATTAGAAAACATTAAAAATTATTAATTGAAGGTTTCACTTACAGGCATGCAGTCAAGTAATATTATGAGGCTGAAAATTTTATCTTTGTTTTTCTCCAGGCTGACAATACAACTAGACACGTTTGTCTAATAAGCCTTAAAAACCCATGACAAGGCTGGCAGAGAATTTGAAAATCAATTCTATGGAAAATTCTCACATTTCACAGTTGTGTTTATTACTGGAAAGGAATTCACAGCCATGAAATCTCACAACTATTCATGGTATGGAAATTCTGGGTGGAAAAAAAAAAAAAAAAAGCAAGGAAATTGAAACATAACAAGAAATAGTACATATAACAGAAACTATACAATGGCATAATACAACTAATAAGATATAAAATCCCTAAATGATGCAAATTCAGAATGAGACATTCATTTGGCCAAAATGAATCATGTGGTTGTTAACGAAATAAGAATATTCTTGTTCTAACATTATTTCTACACTTAGCAAAACAAATGTGGTTCCATAAGAGAGAAGGGATTTCCTAATACTGAAACATCGAATATCCCTGCTCACAGAGAATAGTGACCTGGAATGTTGTGTGGTCCAGGGAGCTAGAATAATGAAGTGATCTAGTCTGATTCCCTTCATATTTACAAAAATGCTCAGTGTGTCACTGAGCATCTGAGTTTCAGAGATTTTTGGTTGAGCAATTCTCTATGTTCCTTCTCATATTCCTATTTTGGATTTTTAACTTCATATTTTTCAGAATTTTTTTTCACTTACCATTTCAAAAGACTAAGAACTGATCCTTAATATACCATACATTATACTGTTATTCAATAATGTTACAGGGCATGAAATAGTTAAAATAGGAGTAGTATTTAACTGATTGAGAATTTCACAAAATCAACTAATCTTATTTAATAGTATATCAGTAAGATATGACAATCACATTCCAAGAAATTAAATTCAGTCACATACAGCAGAACTTGTAGATCCATAAAAATACATCTATATCTCAGGATTTGTATATATGTTTCATTTATATAGACAGACATTTATAAATTAACAGTCTGCCTAGCTAAATACAAATTTGTTCAGCTCATTCACTGGTCATGTTTCAAAATTTAAGGCAATAAGTAGAAAACAATAAAAGGAAGGTAATTATTGTGTCCTCTTCTTTATAGTTCACTTTGTGTCTGGCCTAATGAAATTCCAGTGTTGCCCTATATGACAAAAAAGCCAGAAGTACTACTCAAGCACTAAAGCAGCTTAAATTTCAGTGGGTAAACAACACCTCTCAAATGGGAGATGTGTGTATTTGAACCTTTCCCAATCTCTCACAGAAAAAAAAAAAAAAGGAACCACAGACTAGGCAAATATTCTACTGTAGAATTATTTTGACAAGCAAGAGTTGCACAACACTATAAGCTAATGAGCGCTGCCCCAGTATTGTCTACAAAGGCCAGCTCAGTATCTGTGCACACCGCTTTGTCACGTCACAGCACATAGAACCAGTCAGGATTCTGGCAGACTCCACGCAAATGGGTTTATGCATGTACTAGACAAAGATTAACACAGTCAGTGAGACAGCTTTCCTGGTAAAAACAAAAACATCCAAAGGGTGCAGTGGCTGAGCACGTGTTTGAAAACTACTGCAGTCCTTTGGCAGACGTAGCTCTGCATGTCACAGCCAAAGTACACATGAAGCATGCAGCTCAGGGAAAAATAGAATATGAATGTGTGTTTGAATATATGAAAGGTCACAAGAATTAGTCATTCATTTTAATCATCTCGACCTATGCTGCATTGACAGTTTGAATATACCAGATAAAGTATTTAGTTCATATAAACATCGCTAGCAATGTGCTTACCTGTTCTAGTGTGTTCATCTCCATGGCACCCACTGCTTCATAATCTCAACGCTGATGTACTCCTTCCTTAATCCCACCACCAAATCAAATGTTGTTGTATTTAAATGCAATGTCCTTCTGTAAAACTATCTTCCATTTAAATGTCTTAGTTCCATCTTCAACTTATCTGTCTAAATAACTTTTTGAAAAAATAATTTAAATTAAATATTTCTTTTTCAGTCCTACTGTACAGTGTTAGCATGAAATATCACACTCAAAATGTTAAATTAAGGAAAAGTTTAGGAAATTAAATGCTATTACATCTCACAATTTATCCCCAAAGCAGAGTTTTTTGACTAATTTGTTCAGACACACAGATTTCTCAAAGCTGCTGTGAAATAATAACCAGAACAAAGCAGAACTAGGAAAATAATAATAATCATTAAATCTATTGTTAAATCAACACTATAATTAATATATATCTATAACTATCAAATCTATGTTAAATCTATGCTGTAATTAGTAATGGGAAAATATTCAAATGTTGGCTGAGTCAAATTCCATGGAACCACATACGTATCAGATATATCTGGACAATACTTACATTCCAAAGCAAGGCAGCTTCCTAAACAAGGAAGTTTCATATGGGTTTTACTGTAAACCAGCATATTTTGTTATTAGTTTTGTTTCTTCACAGTAGTAACCAATTACTTTTCTAGTTTTAAGTGCATTATTTTGCTGAACATCTTTTAGTTTCTGTAATCTATAATGCGCATTTCAAAGGTTCTTGGTACAGATGTATTACTCCAGCCATTTTCTGGAAAAGGTGGTAAGGGGATCTCCCTTATTCTTTGTTTCCACAGCATGAGCCTGGGTTTTTCTACAAATGTGAATGCATAATGTTATGTTACAGAGTGGCAGGGAGAAATCATTTGTGCATGTCTATCGCACATTTATATCCATAACTCTGCTGTACACTAAAATAAAAATAAAATAAAAATGAAAATAGTCTAATAACAATTCTATTCCTTCTAAACAATAATATATATATATTAATATATTTGCTGGTGAGTTAGCTTGATGAACTTACAAGTGCAATGGAAACTGTCCTTTTGCTATTTATAACACAAACGTTGAGTTCGTAGGAACCTCTGGAGATCATCAAGTCAATCCCTCATTGCTCAAAGCAGGATCATCTAGCGCAGGTTGTCCATTTAAACTTGGTAACAGTTTAAGATCTCTGGGCAACATTTTCCAGTGCTAGACCATGCTCACAGAAAAACAAAGAAACAAACAAACAAACAAAAAAATTAAATTTGTGTTTAAATGAAATTTCACAATTTTTATTTTGCCTCTTGCCCATTGCCTCTTATCCCATCACTGGACACCACTGAGTCTGAATGCATCTTCTGTAAACCCGCCCATCAGGAATTTATAGATATTCCTGAGATTCCCATTAGCCTTCTCTTCAATACGTTGAACACTCCCAGCCCTCATTGCCTATCCTGGTATGTCAGATGCTCCAGTCCCTTAGTCATTTTAGTAGACCTTCCATGATGGTGACATTACAGAATATCCAAGTATGTTACCATATTTGACGTGATAATGTGGATTCTAGTTTTATATGATTTCTGAAGCATATTGGAAGACTTATTAAAAGGCTTCACATAAAAAAAAAAAAAAAGAAATTAAAATAAAATAAAATAAAATAAAATAAAATAAAATAAAATAAAATAAAATAAAATAAAATAAAATAAAATAAAATAAATGTAGTATAGGTTTACCATCTCCACAAAAGTATGTGGGAAATTCTGAGTTTCATTGCATAGTCTAAAATGTAATTTATCCAGTAAGAAGAAAGCCTTTCAGATAACTTTAATTCTGGAAAGAGATAAGTGTATTTCTGCATGTTTAAACAGCAGAAATGTAAAATGGAAGACATATATAGTTATTTATATAGTCTTAGAGGAATGTACTTGTTTCTGGATATCCATGGTGAGTCTGAACTTGGCTCAGTACATCAAAGATTTTAGCTTCTTCCTAATGGTCATATTAAGTAAACACTCTTACACAACTGGGAACTAATTCATAGTACTCTGCAAATTAACTCAGCATATGCAGGTGGAGCCTGACCTCCACATAGACTTGTACTGAATTCTTCTGTTACAGCTTTTAGTATGAACAGATGGCTGAGTGTGGCTGCATTCACAAATAATAAAGGTGCTTATATCAGCATAATACGCTCCTTTTACCAAGCTGCATCGGTGAGTTCTTTAAAAACACGAACTCCTCTGTAAGCCAAGAGAATCTCAGCTGGAAAACACATAATAAAATTTTCTTTATCAGCTACCAGTTGCAGTTTATTTTGTAGTTGTAACCATTTTGAATAATCAGAAACAATATTTAGTAATTGACTACTTAGGGTTATCCTTGTCTGGATTGTTTTTTTTCATTTTCACAAAATAATATCAGTATTTACATTTCCTTAAGAAAATAAGTCTGGTAGTTTCATATAGTTATTTTTGTTTCTTAATTTCTGGTTCATTTTTATGTACAAATGCTATGTACATTATGTTTTTTTCATTGCTTGTTTGTTTGTTTGTTCGTTTTTATGTATGTTTTTTTCTTTTCTTAAAAAAAAAAAAAAAAAGATTTTCAACTCATTTACTGGTTTCATCTTACAACTTTGAGCCTGAAATTGACAGCAGTGTATGAAGCAACATGTGCTAAAATTTTTAATCATTAAGAATGTATTAGACTTCTTAGATTTTAGACATATAGACATACTTAGAAATTTGCTAAAGAATGCTTTAAGTATTATTATAAGTATTCTATCTGGCATTATGTAATTATTTACAAAGCTATAGTATTAATTACCATAATTGTATTTCTTATCATCATTTATTTGTGCAATCACGTTTTGAAGAGATTCATCTCAATGAAAATATTGACTTTTTACCATTCAGAACACTATTTATTTATCCCAGCAGACTTTTCACTAAGTATATCAGTAGAGGTTTTTTCTTTTATTCTCAGATGTTCCGAACACCTCTTGAAAAACAAACAAATAATAATTTATGGTCAAAAAAATATAACTCCCCATGCTACATTAAAATGTCTTACAGTTTGGATAACCAGGATATCTGGTTATTTCCTTTCATATTGCAGCAAGAACCACAGTTTATTTTTAGGGTTATCATTCCAAACAGAGTTAAATTAAAATAAAAGTAACAGCAACAACAAACATTTGTGATTTAAGAACTACAGATTATTTTCTCACTGCAGTTCTTTTTTCAGAGCTCAAACAAAATGATATTCTGCCCCCATTGGTAAAAAAGAAGGATGACTAATGAGGGTACTTATATTCCACTTTCATTTTGCGTTCTGCCAGGATGTTGCTCTTGGCACTCCGGTGGAGAAGCAACATGAGATTATGGTCCAGAACTCTTTCTTACCCACTCTGTGATGAGAGAAAGATGACAGCAAGTGTTATTTCTGGTAAGTACATCTCTCATTAGTTCCTTTTCTTACTTTTTTATATCTTTTGTTTGAGTTTTGGTTCACTTTTCCATATTATTTCTGAATGTCACTGCATCATTCCTTTGACGTCAATAATGCACTCTGTAGTTACAAGTAGTTATTGTTGCAGTTACAACAATAGTTACAAGCACTCTGTAGCACTTCCAGGATTTTGCACACAACAATTGTGGAAGCTCTCTGACTTCCCTAAAACATATGTGTAACAATCACTTTGCAGCACAAAATGCTCTGCCATCACTCAGAAAAAGCTCTGTATGTGATCCTTTTTCCCAAAACAAACTGCCCAGAAATTGATGTACCCAGACAGTGATTGCATGTAGAGAAAAATAGGAGAGAGCAAAAACATTAGATTGTAAGACAACTATCTCTGTCTGACCCTACAGAAATTTGGAAAGCAAAATAAGGAGAATTCATTAGATTCATGGCTCCCTGCTAATTCATTATTTTTCAAAGTTGGAGTGAAAGTTTTCTAGGATTTTTCTTTTTTTTTTTTTCTTTTTAAGTCCTTACTTTTTAACAGTTAAATCATAATCAAAAACATATGCCATCTCTCTTCAACTGCATATTTTTCAAAGAAAGCACATTGGTATTTATCAAATAAGGATTAATATGAATCTAGCATTTCAACAAATGATGAAGAGAATAAACATTAGCTATGTGGATATAGTCCTTTAAGGAGGCAGACAACTCTCAGTTACACTACAATTATACAGTTCTAAGAAGCACATTTTCCATTATTGTGGATAGTGTGGTTTTAATTTATCAGGCTAGCTTTTTAAGAAGCCTTGCAGTGTAAGCATACAGTTACTTTCCAAATGTATAAGTATTTGCATTGCTCGATGAGTTGATAATCAAATGAATAGTGTAGACAGTCCTTCATATGGTGTGTTGCCAAAGTTGCAAGAGGCATGGGAGGGGTTCACATATTTTTGTTGTGTTTTTATTGCCAGCTGCCATACTGCTGTGGTGTTTAAAGACAGTGCCAAATACAGGGTTTTAAAGGTTCTCCTGTAATTATATCAGATAGAGAGAGGGCAGGGCATGCTTTAACACTGAATCCTGCCTTATTCATTTAGAGCCTGGCTCCAGTCTTGAGAAGTTTAAGGCCTGGCAGAGCTGCCTGCTAGAGGAGGCCTGTGCAGCCCTGGCAGTGCACATTCATGCTCACATTCATGTTCTTCTGGTAGCAGGCACCTTTTTAAAACGTGTTGGTTCTCAGGCATGGAATTACCCCCCATATTCTAGATGTCTAGTGACTTCTTAAAAGCATTATAAATCATACTCATGTCATCACTGTGCACTGTGTTAACTTACTTGCTTCATAGCTTACTTGCTTACTTACTTTGCTAGCTTGGTTTTATTTCTATAAATATTGCTAATATTTGTTACAGTGATAATGCTGAGCATAAAAGCAGGATCTTGAGCTTACAAGAAAAAGCATGCTGGAGAGCTCAAAAACATCTCAGAATAGGAACCAAAACTGGATCCCCAAATCCTCATGTCAGTAGCCTGGGAAGCTATTTCTCTCTTCACCAGATATTTCCCACTAAATAATTTTCTTTACAATAAAACTTTTATTTCCTCCATAGTAGATGTTTTCACCACCTTTTTGTCACTTCAGATAAGTGACAGAAATCTCTCATAATTTTCTCTTCTCTAACGTGAATTAAAGGCAATATAAAAACCAGTCATCACCTCCCTCACTTCTCATTTTCTGTAACATGTTCCTCACAAGCCCTGAAAAATCTTTTCACAAAAACTGCATGCTTTCTAGACATTTCTAAAAATTAGGAAATTGCACATCACAAGTTTCTCATTCCCATTTTAAATGTTTCCAGTGACTTTTCTTTTTGACTTTATAAAGTGATCTAGTCTTCTCTTCATGATCTTCCTTATGGAACTAAACCAAGCCTTTTGCCTTTTTATTTTCATATTGTGCTAATGCACTGACTTTCAGATTTTTTTCTGCACGTACTTCTGTTCTGGATGAGCAAAATATTCCAGCCACTGAACTAGCATGGGCTGTGATTTTGTTCTGTAAATATGCCTTTTGGAAAATCATTGAGCCTGTTGTTCATTCAGTTTCTTGCCCTTTAAGTTAGTTTGACAACTTTGGCAACCAGTCTATCTATCAGATGTCTTGAATTTTTCTGTATATTGCAAGTTATAATAACTGAAATAAAGCATAGCTGCATAACCTTATCTTTTTGTGCAGTAATTGCTGCCTTTCTACCCTGGTGCACAACAGAGAGATCATACAGAAATGACATGATGAAAAAAACCCTGGGACATGAAAAACTGTTACATTTGATGAATAAGGTTTCTTGTTAAAGAATGCCTGGTAACACAAAACTAAGTCTGTGATCTGATTTGTCTTTTAACTCTCCCACATAATTTTAGACACTTGGGACATTTCTCTAGCTTTGTTTTCCATCTTTCCTTCCCACAGAAGCTGGATAAAGGGACATACAAAAGTACACACACTGTGGCAACTGTGTTTGAATGCCCTCCTACATTCATTGCCTGATAATCCATTCAGAGCTGTGATCTTGCTTACCTAGTTTTCATAGCAGCTTGAATAACACCTTGCAGAGTACAGAAATGGTCACACAAATTAAGCATGGATCTCTTTTCTGCTAAAAAAAAAAATAAAATAAAATAAAAATAACAAATAAAAAATAAATAAAAAATAAAAAATAAAAAAAAATGAGTGAACAGGATAATGCATCTGAGAGAGATCATATTCCTATCTTCTTTTTAAAAATGGGTTAAAATCACCTGGTAATCTCTTCATGCTTTGATGCCATTGTGTTCTGTGTGGAACACTGGAACATAAGCCACGGGATACTGAAAAGAATAAATATAAGTAAATGGAGGGAAATGGAAGAGGAAGGACCATAGCAGCAGAAGGAAACCAAAATCAATGAAATTTTGCTAACCAATACTAGTACTGGAAAGCAGTAAAGTGAAATCATATTCTGTACGTAAATGTCACATGTATTTAGCATTTCAGTCAGTGGGGCTGGGTGGAAGATTTAATCTGAATGGCTTCAACATCTAAGGCATTATTTAGTTTTATTGATATTTTTAAAATTTGAACAGAAAGTGCAGATTACCTGTACGGAATTGCTTGTCGCTCAAAGCACCCAAACCAAACTTTCATGCAGTCATTTAAAATCTTTTCATGCTTGTGATTTCAGATAATAGTCATTTGTGATTTTTATGAGTCCAGTTAGCATATTGTATGACAAACCCCTAAGGCCATGTGTTACTGTACACTCCACATGAAGGTGGTATGATTTGGTTTGACTGTACCATTAAATAATGCAACATCATTTTTTATGTCATGTTTTCTTAAATAAGCATAATCAGCTTCCCACACACATTAAATAAGATACCCAATGAATGTACTCAGTCTCTATAAACTATTTAGGATGATACATTGTTCATAGTTGCTTGTTGAGACAGTTCTTCCAAGTTTTTATATACTGTCTGATATGGGTTTTTCTTAAGGATAGGTTATGTGAAAATGTGGACCAATAAAAAGCAGAAGTCCTCATGCTTCTCTGTTCTTCCATGAATATTGAAGGCAAGGTTTGAAAACTGCCAATTTAGTCATGGAAAACAAACCCTTCATAACTAGCCACCCAAGTTTCAGCAAGAAGTCTATGAAGAGATGCTAACTCTGGATTTCTAACAATGCAAATGTCTATAAAGAGCTTTTTTTCTGTGGGCAACATTTAATCTTTTATGCAGTTGATCATATTACAGACCAATGTTGGTAAAAGACAATGCCAGAACAAAATTCTTCAGTCACTGCAGTGAGTTATCAGCAAATTTGGTGCAGTGTGAAGGAGAAAAGCATACATATCTCTTACAGCCAAGCAATCTCTGCTGGCCCTGGTAAATCACAATCATCCTTCTGGTACTTCCTCCTGTATTTGGAAGATTGGCACATTCTGTTCTAGCTGAGAATGCTGTCTTTGATTTCAGATATATTTTTGCCAAGGTTACAGGTATTGATGCGGAACACTTGTGGGTTTTTTTTGTTTTGTCTTCTTGCACAAGTACATATAATGGACCCTTTCCATTACTACATTCAGTGAACAAAATCAGATTTAGAAACCTTGGGTTAGTATATTACAATACTTCACTTTCTGTAACTTCAATCTACCATGTCCAGAATTATATTCAACCAAGCTGACTGCTAGAACACAGACTTGTAAGATTTGTTTAATGCAGAGTGTGTGCACTCAAAGCATTCCAGTGTCACTGAAGAGTCCAGCTTGTTCTTAAAATTTATGCAGAGTTATCAACAATTTAGAAAAGAGCTGCCAAAGGTCATACTGACTACAATGATTTGACAACACAAAGGCTTTTTTTTATTGATCTTTTCCTTTGCGTAGCACTTTAAAAAAATATTGATACACAGTGAAAATAAAGACCATGACGGATGTTGATTGTGACTTGGCCAAAGGTTGAGGAAGGGGAGAAGTTATCGGGGTTGCGTTGAGTGTGAAAGACTCCACTATAATTCTATTGTTTGGTCCCTATGTGGTAACAGTGTTCTCATGATGTGCCTTTGACCGGGCACTGTGCTTGCCTCTCAGCAGATTAGGGAAGCTGGCTCAGCTGGTTGGGAAAGACTTCATTAGGCATGGCAGTTTAGGTGGCACAAATTTCACAGTTCCAAAGCAATCTGGAGTCCTCCCAGAAATACAGGTATCATAGTCAAACAAATCACTAATCCCAGAGACCAGCTCCGACTGCTTTTCTGAAGTACTGTGAATCATGATCTTTAGGAAAACTAGATGGCTGCTGTCCAATTTTGCAGCTGGATTATATTAGTTCACATTTTTAAGGACAAAGGTTATAATAACAAGTTCTTGTGTTACTCAATTTACTCAATTAGGTAACATAGTTACCTTAATAGTTCTGTAACAGTTTGCTGGTGTTAGGAGTAATATAATTCAGTTCTTCTAGGGAAAAAAAAAGAAAAAAAAAGAAAGAAAAAAAAAAGAAAAAAGCAAAAAAAAAAGAAGAAGAAAAAAAAAAAAGAATTTAATGAAGGGTGTTCCATATATGAAGGCAGCATAGGAGAAAACAGGCAGCTGGGAGGAAAAACCAAATAGGTGTACTGTTCCTGTCGCTGCGAAGCAAGGAAACACTGCAACAGACAGTAATGATAGTGATGAAGTCTGAGTCAGAGTACCTTTGGGCCTCGAAAGCACAAGCAAAAAGTTTAAACCTGATACACCAGGCAAAAGAGCAGCCCAAAGAAAAGCGTGTCATAATACACAGATGCATACCTGACATATGTACGTTTTCTGTGCTTAAGGCTGGAGCGATGGGTTTTCCCATCTGCCCAACACTCCACCGCAGTGGTTTTCCTGTGGGATAACATTTGTGAGCCTCCAGTGAAATACTAACGAACAAGAAACTTGATTTCAGCTTTTTGATCAGTAAGACTGCTCTTATTTCTTACATACAGTGATGTATGTTACTTGGTCTTGATACATCCGTTTTTAATCAAACGTAATTTGCGTTATGTAGTGGGATATTTGGCTTGCAAGCTGTAAAAGTGGTTAACCATTTCTGGAAACACAAGGTTCATTACACACAGACCTGAGCGTTTCTCAAAAGCAGTTATCCCCATGTGCCCGCCGTTCGCCCCGTTTAATGCCTGCTTCTTCACACAAGGGAGCCCTCACACGGGTTGCCAGCTAGGGAGGGGGCTGCCGGGCTATTCCCGGGTGGGAGGAAAGGACAAGCACCCTGTGCCTTTTCGCTTGTCCGGACCGCGCTTCCTTCCCCCTGCTGCTCTCCGCCTGGCCCACCCGCAGGGCGCTCAGCCTCAGCCGGCTGCCGGGAGCTCTCTCGGAGCCCGCAGACCCCTCTCAGCCCATCCGCAGTGGGCCGGGGGCTCTGCCCCAGGCGGGGGGGGGGTCTTCTGGCCGGCCCTCGCTGCTTCGGTCTTGCCCCGGAGAGCGAGTTAGCAGGGACCGAGCCGCTCCGCCCCCGCTCCCCCCTGTCCCGGGCAGCTCGGGGACGTACGCGAGGGGAGCGGGGGGAATGGGCCGCAACAGCACCGCCGGGAGGAGGAGGAGGAGGACGAGGAGGAGGAGAAGGAGGAGGGCAGGAGGGAGGGCAGGAGGGAGGGAGCGACGGAGGGAGGAAACTTGGGGCAGGTGACACGGCGCTAGGTTCCTCCGGCGGGGCGGGAGAAGCCTCCTGTGCGCCGGCCGGGCGGGACGGACCGGCAGCGCCATGCACGTCAATGGCAAGGTGGCGCTGGTCACCGGCGGGGCGCAGGGCATCGGCAGGGCGTTCGTCCAGGCGCTGCTGGGCAAGGGAGCCAAGGTAAGCCCCGGGTAGCGCCCCCGCCACGGGCACCGGCAGCCCCCGAGCCTCGGCGGGGCTCCGCTCAGCCCCGCTCCTTCCCTTCCCTCCCTCCGTCCCCGGGCAGGTAGCGCTGCTGGACCGCAACCTCGAGGCCGGGCAGGAGAGCAAGGAGGCCCTGGACGAGCAGTTCGAGGCGCAGAGGACGGTGTTCATCCAGTGCGACGTTACGGACCCCGAACAGCTGAAAGGTAAGGGACCAAGCGTCAGCGCTGCGCTCCGGCTCAGCGCGCCAAGGGAGCCCGGGCTGCTGCACCTATAGGTGCGCAATTATGGGTGCTGCAGGACAGCCTACTCCCAATCTCTCCTGACAGTGACTCAAAAAGGATTTGTTTCTGAACCTGCAGATGTGAAATATGACTGCCAGCGCGCGCATATTTCACTGTGTTACTTGGCACATCGTAAAGAAAAGCCAGAGAAATCATTTCCATTGAGCGCTGTGTGACATTTTTGCATAAAAGCCTCTGCAGAAGATAGTTGTTATTTTATGAGTAATATACATAAACTTTAAAGCATGGACTTGCTTTTTATGAGGCTTCAGTACAGACTCCAAGCTGCATTCTCTCATCACAGGAGTAATAAATCTCCGGGTTGCAGTGCTCTTTCCGTACAGCATGCTTGCCTTCAACGTCCTGCTGCTGTGCCGAAAGAAGAGTCGGCAAAAGATGGCACGCTGCTTTAGTGTGGGGTTGGATAAGGATCGATAAAGTTTTGCATATGTTTTGCAGATGCAGGGCATGGCAAGAAGCTTCCCTCACACATGATTGCCATTCATGTTAATGAATAAATCCTGCTTCCCACTGAGATCTTGGAATAGTTTGTAATTTTGACATACCCTTCACATCTCATAGTCACCACATCACTTCATTAAAGCTTCATTCTTAGTTAACATTCACAGGTAGTGAGTCACTTTTGGATTTTGACATAACTGTTGTTAGTACCCTTTCCCCAGATTCATTTGTGTCAGGCTAGATGTGAGCATTGTTAGTTCTACTTTTATGCACTATGCTTCACTCACTGCTTTCTCAACAGTAGTGGTGAAGCATATCCATTCCTCTTTCACAAAGCATTGCGGATAGTCCAGAACTCAGCAATATTTTTCCTAGCTATGAGTTAGCATGATTACACCTAATTCCAGTGTTTTACGTGGGAGATGCTGGACTTTAAACATGAGATCTGCTCTGATCAGCAAACTTTTTTGTTTGTTTATCAGCTAGGTTCATTACTGACTTTTTCTTCAAGTGGGAGGAGTAACTCAGGAGCAAGAATAAGCATCTTAAGGGTAGGAATAGCATGTGCTGCAGCCTGGCTGTTACCCCAGCATGTTTTCTCTCTCCCACTTCCCACATTTCCTCCTCATTTTAGTGCCAGGCTAGTGTAGGGCCTAAAGGCTGAGCTCTGGGAACTGGAAGGAGAATGATGGGTCAGTGGGGGAGGATTTGGAACCAAGTTAGCAGGAAAAGAATGATTAGAATAAGACTGGAGTGATGGCAAGGAGCAAGAGCAAGAAGCTCCTTATGCTTCTCTGATATTGCATTTTTCCCATTTAAGGTTGCTTAGCAAAAATTTGCCATCACAACTTCAAATCCTGTAGGGCTTCTGTTTGTTACTGCTTTGCCTTCTCTTCTCTTTCCTCACTTTTAATTGCAAACTGCTGATTAATAAACCTAATTTCACTCCTAGAATTTTTTGCATTTAGTGGATGCATTGAGTCCTATACTTGTTTTTTACAGTCAGTGTCATTAGTTTTCTTAGTTTAAGTCTTTCAGTACAAAACAAGTCACAGCCAGTACAAAACAAGTCACAGCATTAGAGCTTATGGGTAGAAAAGCAACTGCTTTATCCATATTCAATTCTTGCCTGTGCTTTTTTCTCTGTTGGCACTCTCACACATTCCCCCACAAAAATCTTCAACCTTGTTCCACTTTTTAAGTTACCATACACTGAATTTTGCTTTCCCTGAAAACTTAGGAAGCTCACTTATGACTGGTATTCCACTTATGACTTACTTTGCACTGTGTTTCTTACATCTCCATTTAAATGGATCTTCTTCTTCATTGTAATGATCAATGTTCTGCATGATCATCTGCTTTTATTTGATATGATTTCATAAGACAACTAGTCTTAAAGGTTGTCTTAGCAGTGTAAACAGAATTATTCTCTATTCAGAAAGGGAAGAATGAAAAATCAGTTTAGAAAAATGAGTGGGTGATAAGATTCTTAAGAATTTGTAGTGAGAATCTTATTTTCTGTGGGAAGGTAACAGATGGACTATTGTAGACAGGTAAACTTCTACCAGAAATATTTTAAATTTCATAATCATTCTTTATTTTAACATAGATATGCAAACAGCTGAAAAACATTTTGCTATTTTCTTAAGGTGCAAGCTAGAAAACTACAATTAGTCAAGTCAATGTGTGAATTTAATAGTTAATGCATATTATTTGGCAGAAATACTGTTATCTCAGTGTTTTTGAAAGCAAAAGATTCTCTTAAGAGTGGAGTTGACGAAATAGGCTATTTCAAAAAGGCTTAAAAGTGAATGGGAGAGACATTTTGCAAAATTTGGAAGCTAACTCAAACTGCATTTATTGTATTAATTGAAACTAAGCTAAAGTAATCAGTTCTGCTCCTAAGCCAACTTTTTAGTTGCCCTGGCTTGTGCAGGACTGGGAAGATGAGGAAGGATGATTGAAGAGTTAAGGGATCAGAGAATGAGACAGCAATAAACATAACAAATCCCTGAAAGGCAGAAAGCCAAAAAGAGATGCTTTAAAATATTAAAATATTCTGTTACAGAAGAACATTAGAAAGTCTGTACAATAAGGGTAGTTGGACAAATAAAAAGTTTCCCAGCTACTGCCCAGCTCTTGTTCTGATATCAAGATGATGACAGTGATGGACCTGTGTCATTCAGCTTGTAAATATAAACTTGTAACAGCACCAACATCTGGTGCTTTTGTAAAGCCCTGCAACTACCAAAAAAAAAAAAAAAAAAGCTAGATAGCTAGATCTCTCAGAGCTACTGCTACTATTGACCTGATTGACACTAATAGCCAAAGAAGAAGTACCAGAGAAATACCAGAGAATTCAGAGGATCCTGGGATCACCCTTTGGTGAAGTAGTTTCATTAAGGCCCGCTGAGCATAATTTCACTATACCTGAAATACTCTGGGTTTTCAATCAGTCACCAACTGATGTTTTTTAAAACAATATAGTGGAGGAGGGGTGTTTTGCATAACGAAAAATGTTTAGTGATTAGAAATATCTGGAGGGAAGAACAAAAAAGCTATATATGTATTTCAGATAAGGTCTGCAGTCATGGAAAAACTTAGTCTGGAAAGAACATCTGGAGGTCATCTCATCCAACTGTTCTGTCAGAGCAGGGCCAGACTAGATGCGTTTCCTCATCACTATGACATCATTGTATTTTTCCATACACATCTTTTATCTTAGTTCAAACACTGTCACCTGGGAGAACACAGTGTCACTGTGGAAGTTTCCCAGTTCTTTATTTTTAAATTCTTTGGAAGACAGGTCATTATTTTCATCAACAGAAGAAGATGTGAATTTGTGAGATGTTATTAAAGTTACCTGATGTATAAAAATATCCATTTCATAAATGGATAAATTTAATCAAGAACTGTGATGAATTGTTTTTACTTAAAAGATTCATATTAGTTATATCACTGGATAAGTACTGCATTCTTTAAATAAGTTAAATTCAGACTCAGACCAGAGTCCATGGTTCTGAACATATGAAGCTTTTATTTTGCATTTAAAATAGGTGGAGACAGATCTGGAATTTATTAACTACATCAAACTCGAGATGTAAGTGCTTAATTTATATAATAAGGGTGCCAAACATCCTATCTAATACAAAATATATGGGTGCTAAGAACTTTCATTTGCTCATGTTAGACATTATGAAACAGAATGAAAAGCTTAGTGTGGTATCTTAATTCCTTCAGTTTTCCTGAATATGTTTAATATTGGTGAATGGTTAGATAAAACACGTAATTCTGTGTTGCTCATTAGTGATTAAGAAAACAGTTGAAACATTTTGGTGGATTAATAAAGCGTGTGTTTGTAAGTATATGCTGTATTTTTATATTTAATGAATACATGTTTTATTTCTGTGTCTTATTTTCCATAAGTACTAGTTTAACTTTGGATTTTACTATAGGTGCTTTCAAAAAAGTAATTGAACATTTTGGAAGGCTGGATATTGTGGTTAATAATGCTGGAGTGAACAATGAGAAGGACTGGGAAAGCACTATACAAATTAATTTGGTAAGTATTATCTCTTTTCACATACTCATACTTCAGTAATTGATGCTGGAATACACTTAACACTCCTTGGCTTATACAGATCATGCCATGTGACAAAACATGGATTATTAGTCTGACAAGCACAGCTGTTCAAAAAATAACCATCTAACTGCATGTGTACAAAAAACAAATGTCTGTGTGGTGGGTCCTTTATGTTGTCTATCCAAGATGTTAGCCTGAGTAACTATGCCATATACCAGACAACATTCTCCTTCTTATGAAGCCCAATGAAATCCCACAGAGGTGTAATAATTTGGTATCCAACGCAGTAGATCTACACCTACATGAGGCCAGTAGGTGTATATGAATGTTTTAGAATATTTTAGTTCCCTGTTAGAGTCGGCTGGACTGCATTAGAAAGTAAGTTGCCATCTGTTGGTACTGCAAGAAAACTTATTCAGCCACGAGCTCCTACATTTTCTTCACCACTGAGCATACAGCTTGAGTTTTTAATATACGCTATTTCACTATCACACCACTTAAGAGCATTTGATAAAACCAGATACATTCAATGAATGTGTAAAATTTATTTTCAAGCAGACTGCCACTGGTTCTTTGACGTTATCTGGTATCTGGCTAACCCTATGGTAAAATCTTATTCCTCTCATGAGGGGAGACTTCACTAACTATCTCAGTTTCTGTTTTGTTTTGTTTGCTTTTAAAATTTAGGCTACACAGTTAGGAGATCTAAGCTCCAAAAGAAAGAACAAATTTCTAGGTTAATAAAATGGCCAGCTTGTGTTCTACCACCTATGAAGTTCTAATTGGATGGTGATTCATCAAGTTACTCCTATGGCCATGCTTAAAAGCAATCTTGATCTGCAAAGGCACTAGCAAAAGAAAGCATGGAAGAGTACTATTTGGAGTTTGAGTCCAATCATTCATGAGGAATTTGTCAGACAAGCAGTATAGCTCAGGATATGAAAACTAAAAGCTTGGTTTTGTCAAAAGTTTTATGGACAAAGGTACCTGAGTCTTTGAATTCTATCTCTCTGAAAACTAACAGACAATCAAAAAAGACCAGGATAAGTAACACAAGATGTATATGAGACAAGCTCTAGAAAAACAATGGAGAAATCCATATTTTAAAAAAAAAAAAAAAAAAAAAAAGTTATAGATGTAGCAATATTTTTCTTTACCTTTTAAATCTATCCAAGGTCAAATTTGCTTATTCTTGGAAGGCGCTAAACTGAGACCACAGATTAACGTTTCCACAATAAGAGAAATGATTATTTTTATTATGTTCATTTTCCTTTGTCTTTTCTTTATATCTTTCTTAAGATGTAACTATACATATTTTTTCTTCTCTCTTTCATTTCTGAAGTATTCTGACAAATTAAACAACAGGATATTTCATATTTTGAACCTACAGAAGTGTGACATCATCAGTTAAATGCAACATGAATACATATTGTCAGAGATCCTTTGAATTTAAAGGAATTCAAGTTCTAGATTACTTATTTCTTTTTATTTTGTGCCTGAATTAATATGAGATATAATTTACTATAGGCAGCCATCCATGTGTCAAAAGTGCTTGCACATAGTTAGTCACAACACACAAAAAAAAAATGAAGACCATGTGTGAAACTCATTTGTCTGTGATTCACATATAAATTTAGCTCAAAAATTGAAGGTATCTGTGGTCAACAAATCTTGAAGATATTTAATGCCCAAGTAAATATCTTAACTTACAGACTGATGTCCAAACAAATTTGCAAATGTGGGAGGTAGGGGGAGGATATTGTAATTTATACATGATTGTTTGGGTTAATTCACTATGTGTGTCCTCCTGATTTAATTCATAGTCGAACGTTGAATAAATGCATCAATTCATGACTAGAACAAATACATTTAAAATGATCAAGCCAAGTAAAAGCACAACCATGTGGGTTAAGTTAAGGACACATTAAGATATAAATATCTTAATTACTCTTTTGATTTAAATATTCTTTAACTACCTAACCTTGAGCCAACTACCTAGCTTATTTCCATAGGGCATTTCTGTCTAGTTACTGTAATTTCCATGAACCAAGATATAAACATTTTATGCTTCTTACTTATTAACTGTAACACGGAACAATAACAGCTGCTGCATGCAATATGCTATGTTGACCAGTTTCATAAAATATGTTTTGCTTCTGGTAGAGAAAGGAAAAATTATGTACAAAAAATGCAATTTAAAAACGTCTCTATTTCTCCTGTGTAGGGCATTTAAGTATCCTTTGCATTATCTCTAAGAACATGAATAACCTCAATAGGCACACATTTTGATACACATTATGCAAACATTGGACAGATTTTTTTAAAATTTTTTTTAAGGGGGGAAAAAAAACTCTACATGCCAATCTTTGTCTTGCTGATATTATTTATATATTTGTACAACAAATATTCCCTGCCCCAGTTTAAAGTACAAAGTACAAAAGTAGAGCGGTACAGAGCAAGATAAATCAGAGCAAACACATACGGGGTGTGTTCTTTATGGCTAAAACAGTTCACAGAACCGGTTGGTCTTCAAGACCTTTTTTAAAGGAGGGCAAGGAAGTTTCCTGAGAGCACTGCTTAAAAAAGCATGAGGAACAGAAATGAAGAGCACATTTCTGCTACAATGGGACATGCTACAGAAGAAAAAAGAGGAGATAAAACACAATCCCTGCTTGTATCCAGTACAGATTCCTGTGAAGGAAACAAGACAGCTTGATAAACATGGGAAGGAAAAAAAGAACATCAACCACTAGAAAGATTTTTCTTGCAGTGCTTTCCAGCTCTTGCTATATTTTGTACTAAACAATATCCACCTTTTAATTACTTTATTCATATTTTTATTAACACTCTTAGTTCAGCATTCCAGCAATGCCATACATTCCCCACCAGAAAACTCCAAGACTGTTAGTGTTGACTTGATCAAAATTAGCTTGAGACATTGATTCAACTATGATATCCATATAAATTCCACCATAAGTGGATATTACCAGTGTTGTTTCAACAGTTCATGACATAAACATACCCGTACACCGAAAGGAATGAGACATAACATACATTCTTACCAAGAGTCCTACCGACAGTCATCCAGAATGACAAAAGCAGCATTTCTTCCATTCAGCTTCACAAAAACTTACACCTAAGGAATCCAGATATTTTATAGTTTGACTTCCCCCCTTCTTTTCACCTAAATGAGAAAAAAAAAAAAAAGTGCCCAAATTTTGATGAGCTTTAAACCCACATTAGTTTAGTTAAACACAAGTTGTTCTGAAAGGCTTTCTTTTCCTGAGGTTGTATGCTTTCTATAGTGGCTGCTATACTTACAGTATCTTTTCTCTTTACAAATGTATTTAGTACATTTTATACTAACAGAATTCCCAAATTAACTTGAAGGTCCCTCTTTATGCTCATAGTAGAGGTTTCTGAAGACTGACATAGGTCACACTATACAGTTAAAATGAAACAGTACATGAATCACATATCCTTACATCATAAATATTACCTGAATTCAAAGTGCAGGAGCATTTTACATAAAGTTTTGACCATGTTATTTTCTTTCTTACACCAAAAAAGAACACATGGGATCCAATTATTAAAGTGTTACCCTGCTCAGCATCATAGCTTCATCTAATTTATTTTGGAACAACTTAATAATTAAATGTCTTTTTTTTTTTTTAAAGAGAAATTTAATGCTGATCTCCAAAGATTATATATATTTCCTGGTACACAAATTTGGTCCAGAAAGTATAAGCCTCTAAAAATCTCTAAAGCATTCTGCTAGGAAAGCACTATTAATTAACATGTAGGTGAATACCTGCTTAGTTTTTATGTATCTTATTTATCTAGTTTCACAGGAAAAGAATTGTGAGGTAGTTTTTTGTTGTTGTGTGGTGTGTTTTTTTCTTTATGCTCTAAAGCAAAAATGACGTAATAATATTGTATTGTAATAAAAAGTTTTGAAAATTGTTTCAGGGACAGTTCACAATTTTAAATGACAGTTAAAACATGTATTATTTCCTCAATCTTAATAAAATAAGAGAAGATGTGGTTTTAGGCAAAAGTAGAAGAAAGTGGGAAAGTTGGCATGCTACCTCAATTCAGGATTCAGAATAAAATAGTGTGAAGTAAACTATGTAGCGGAATTGTTCTTACTTAATCCCTTGTCTGCATTGTAATGGTAACACCAGTAAAGTGAAAAGAAAAGGAAAAAAAAAAGAAAAATATACTTACAAAATATGTCAGCATAAATACAAAATGTCCAAAGTCAGTTATCAGAAATTTGTGACTGAAGTGTTCTTAAGGAAAACCAAGCTTTTTTTTCTTGATATACTGTGGAAGTATGGGTAGAGGGGTAAGAATTGCTTGTGAAGAGGTTTATTAACATCTAAAAGGTCTTTGAGGATAGTCACAGGAAGAGATTTAGGGAAATGTTGAAATGCTAGCCAAATTTTAGAATTAATATCCCCAAAGATTTGAGTAGCTAGCTATCATTTGCTCTGATAATTAAATTAAGTAATGAGAGCTGTCTTACTCCCTTGTGTACCCCATTTGCATTGCTCATTTCCTGGGTCGTAAGGAGGTAGTTAAGTTTCATGTGCAAATGATGAAGTACACTAGGAGAAGCATGAATGTGAGGCTCAGTTTAATACAGTTCATGGTGAAATAAAATTTCCAGCAACCAGCAAACCTTGCAGAATCAATTGATGTGTTCATTAGTAAGGAACTATTCCTCAAAAGGCCAGTTAGCATCTCAAAAGCAACCTTAAGGGTAAGTAGGCAAATATCAGAAGTGATTTATTTTATTGATTTTGGGGACAAATACTTGGTGATCATTGCAAGGCCATTCCCTCGTGCAAGCCAGATAAGGGATCTCTTGGGTGTGTGCTACAACCTTCACCTTGCTTTGGAGGGTGTATGCAGCAAGGTTCGTGTACCTTGCTTTCCTTTCCCAGTGTACCAGGGGAAATGACAAGGGCTGAGCTTTCATCCCAAAATAATATGACCAGGACATATGGCTGGATTCAGCAGCTGAGAATTACAACCTGGCCCTACAGTACAGACAAGCAAGTAATGTTTCTTAATGCTACTAACATAACTGCTCAAAGTGAAACCTTCTGAAACAAAACAAAAACAAAACACAGTGCTGTCTGTAGGTGAGTAAATTGCACCGGTAACTAGTTTGTCAAGCTTGCATTCTAAGGCAACAAGAAATACACAAACTCTGTTGTTCAATGGCTTAGTCACTTATTTCTTCGGTATAATTTGATGCTAGAAACAGGACTACGTGCCTAGGCAGAGATACGGACACTAAAAAGTGAGAAGTAGCTATCATCTTAAAATTGGTGGAGTGAGGATCAATCCTCTAAGTACATTAAAGAAAACAACTGTAAGCATAATAATTTCTATTGCCCATATTGTCTTAGGAAACACAGATTTACCTTAATTGCACAGTAAGTCAATTAACTTCATAGGTTAATTTTTAATGCATGTTTACAGTACTCAATGTTGAAACACAATGAAAGACACATTCTTTGAAATAGGGACTACTTAAGCCTAGCTACTTAAAATGCAATATTATTCCTCTGTCCCTGAGGAACATTTGGGAAAAAAGGCAAAGAAAAACTGCATAACAAAAAACTTAAATGTAGTATTTCACTCCCATGCTGTAAAACAGCTATTGAATTCTAGAAAAGGAACAAATCCTACTACCCCTTCCTTTTGCCTCTCCCTCCCTAGGACTTCTTGCTTTCCACAGTTTGAGGCAGAAACTCAAACTCAAGACCCTGAAATTTCATTTCATATAGCAAGCAAATTAATGGGAGTGCCAAAGGACTTGCATGCTTACTACAACCCATCTGCCTCCTAGAAGATCTACAATAAAATCCCACCTCCCTGACCTACAAGAAAACTGATAACATTTTCCATGGGTTATGAAACTGTGAATCAATGGCTCTTTCATTCATTTTATGTGCAGTATGCCTAGCACAAAGGCCTGGGCTCCATTAGCGCAGAAACCTACATTATATATTAGGACTGATTACCATTTTGTTTTCTCAAAGGAAGTCATAAGAAACTACTTCAGCACTGAAACACTAAAAAAAAAGTGTGTAGTAAATTACTTCCCAAAGAATTGCCATTTGCAAATGATGATGATTAAAGGTATTCTGGAAGCCACCACTACAAAAGAAAATACTTTAATTATTATTATTACTTGTAGATCAAGCTAAGAGGTAAAATGAAATACAGAGTATGAAAATCAACTTACAGGTCTTAGGTTGGAATACAAGAACATTGTACAACACTGGGTAGGCAGATTCATAGAGCCAGAACAAACTGAATTAGAGGTCTATTGAAGACTAGCAGTCTGACTAGAATCAGTTTTGATATATACTTTCTTTTAGAGCAAGAATTAAAGCCATACAGCTGTGGGATACATAGACTTGTCAAGAACCTTAGATTTTTGTTTCTGATTTTGACACTGACACATAAATTGCCAAACAATTTGTTACATAAGTTGCTGATTACTGATAGGATGCTTCCAATAGCAACTGCAAATGTTTCGAGCATTCAAACAATTACTTTTCAAAATTTACCATGTTGTGAGAAACTAAGTTTTAGTTTTATCAGTTTATGCTTCAGAATGTCTGATCTCCTCTAATGCAAATCTGAGTTTTCCAGAAGCTAATATTAGGAGACATTAAGATTTAACTGAAAAGGTTTCTACTGGCAGGTATAGAGCAAAATTGCCTCCCTTGAGAGCACACTGAGACCTGCAGTACACCTTGATAGGTTGTCTTCTTTATTTGCTAGAGTAAAATATTATATTTTGATAAAAAAAACAAACAGCAGTATCACCGAGATCACAAGTGTTGTTTTTTTTCCAACAGTTATAAGGACAACCATTTAGACGTTCTACTGGTTATCAGCAGCCAGGAGCAAACAAGCTAGGAAAGAGCCGACTGTCCTAATTTTCACTTTTCCTGCATTTAATTGTAAATTTGGCTAATTCCCTACTCTTTGTTCTTGACATGTTTATGGAGAACATCCATGCAGCTGGGTGCAGTTGTAAACTAAGGAACTGTAAAAAAATTCTACCTTAAAATGCAACTCTTCTAAGAAGTTAATTCTCATAGCATATCTTTGCCATATAAAATGTCGGGCTTTTTTCTTTTTTTTTTCTTTTTTTTTTTTCAATTAGGAAATTTTAAATATGAACTTTACCTGAATTTCTAATTAAAAAAGACAAACTACAAATTGTTATTGGTTAGGAGCATAGGATTAAGTTACTATTCTTATATACACAGAGAATTACGCCACCTGAAAACATCTTCAGTTTATTTTAGTTTATTGAAAAGTAGATAGTAGACATTTTTCCATCATATTCCCAAAACCAGGAAAATGTGGTGCACAAAACACATCATTCTTTGTCTTACTTTCTGTTGTGAATTTGATGTTACAGTAAAGTAATAGTTGATAAACTTTCTTCTAGAATTCAGCCAAAATATTCTCATCCCAACACATCAGAAACCAAAGGTACATTTCATAAAAAAGGAAGCCTTAGGCTGCAATTTGAACACTTGCAAAGATGGATTTTGTAACAAAACCAAGCTCACCAAGAGATGCCAAGCTAGTGGAGTCTAGAGAGAAAAAAGAGCAGTACTATGATTTTGATAGAAACATCTAGCTACCCACTTTTTGCCTGTCTTCTAATTGTGGTTTGGCTGAGGACTCATCTTGCTTTATTATCTCTTTGAATTAGAAGGCTGGAGGAATAGAAAAACCCTCAAGGAGCCCCAAGCTACTTCCTTCTCCAACTGATTTATTTCCTCTAATCATCCTAAATGGAATTCTCCTTTTCTGTTCAGCAGGCTGAGCCACTGCTGCAGGGCATGATAGGACCTGCACCTGCTCTACAGAGACAGCATTAACCCTTGATTTTCTAAAATGTCTAGTATCATGCATATGTATGTGTATATATATATATATAAATTCACCATCCATCCTTAATACCAAGTCTAATTTCAGTTGAGCTGTCATTGAGTTTACCTTCAGACTAAATGTACCACACAGCAGTGGTACTAGACATAAATTATCCTGTTTTTCAATACATCCTTTGAAATTTAGATGTGGCCATCAACATTAAACACTGCAAGACTACTACTAAGCGTTCAATAAATAACATCGTTTTGATAATAAGCAAAATGCTTCTAGTGCCAAAACTTTCCAGAATAAAAACATAAAACAAAAAGCTTTTTATGGGAAGTTTTAATTTAAAAAATCTAAAACATTATTTCAGACTTTTGAAATATTCCAATATTGTGATTTTTATGTTATTGCAGAATATGGTATTGTGAAAACATATTTATATTTAAAATATCACAAAATACTACAACTACAGAAAATTTTAAAAAGCTCGTTCAATATCAATATTAGAAAGCAAACTTGATAATGACATTTCAAGTTCTTTTGTCTCTGTAAATGTGCAGTTTATTGATGTTACTCAGACACTGAAAAAGCCATAACACTAAGACATGCAGTCTTGCAAATATGATTCTGGTTAAAACGACAAGCATATTTCTTGTAGAAGGCAAAAAGACTTGAATTAAGATTCTTATGTTTTATAACATATCTGTCTAAAAACACCAGCTAGTAAAAATGAGATGCAATACATGCCTTAAAATTTTCCGTTTTTTTTTTTTTTTTTTTAAAATGTATTTTATTACTTTGGGACATTTCCTCCTCCATGATTCATAGTTCTGCAAACCTTCCTTGTTCCTCTCCCTAACAGAACTCTCAGGGAAGTGACTACATGCAGATGTGGACAGATGTGTAGGGACACTTCATTTGCTGAGCATCTTAATTTGTTTGGGTCAAATAAATAGCATTAGACACAAATAAAATATAAATTGAGTTCTTGTTTAAAAACTTAAATATTTCTGGAAGTATAAAAGAGATTAAATGATTTTTTTAATTTTAGGTAGAAATTGTAAACCAAATATGAAATGTTTTAGCAGAGATCTAAGAAAATTATATAAATAATTAATATTTATGAAACTTGCAGCAACATTTCACTAAAATAAATGCAGCAATATTTCACTAAATATACTATGTTCCGCTAGAAGCATCACCATAACTTTCTATTAGCAATTTCTTAAAGTCTGTGGTAAAGCAACTTACCTTCTGGGAGACAGACTTCCTCTGGGTTAGGAGGCTGATAACTTCAGGCTCAGCATACATATAGGAATCTGTTTAGATGTGTTAAGTTCGGTGGGATGAATCCCAGCAGTTGGGTTCTAAAACAGATCTTAAGCAATCAAGATTGTACAGGTCTCAACAAGATCTTCTTCCTCAAAGATCTTTCTTTAAAATAAAATAAAATAAAATAAAATAATAAAATAAAATTAAATTAAATTAAAATTACATGCTGCAGCAAATATGACAACACCTTCTTTCACATCTCTTAGAATACTTATCTGTATCTGTCTGTTTGGGCTTACCTTCATTTGAGAGGAATTGTAAAAATGATGTAACTTCAGTCAGAAAATACAAATTTTAGGACCAGAAATAGATCTCACAACTTCTTTTAGGATCACATCCTATAAAGTGCAAGTTTCTCATGCCCTTAAATGGCCAAATGGGGCCATCAGTGTTAGCAAAATCTTCAAATTCAGTCTTTACATTTTCTGTAACAAAGAGTTCATCTAAATAAAAATGATGGGACTTGGATCAGTTCATCCACTCCTTATAGAGATTCATTTATAAATTAGTCTGGATTTCATCTCCTTTACAGTGTTTATTTCAGTCTGCAACTATTTAGTTTTATTATTGATATCTTTATGAGAAAAATAATTAAGAAATAATAATAATTTCTATTCATTGCAATTGTGCTTTTGAAGTTGCATTACTGTGGAATATCTTCTGTTTATAATCTTCAAAGTATAACTAAAATCTCAAGTAAAGTAATACAGACTCTAAGCATTACAACTAAAGCAAGACCGTTTTTAGGATCACAAAACATATTTTAAGAAACATATTTTGAATATAATTATCCTTTTTCCCCTTATGTCAGACATCTGTGATTAGAGGAACCTACCTTGGCCTAGAATATATGAGAAAAGGAAATGGAGGTGATGGAGGAGTAATCATTAATATCTCATCCTTAGCAGGTGAGAATATTTTGTATATAAACACTTTCTCCTCACTGATTTATTTCTAAAATCAATGAATCATACTGATCGCTCACACTTTTTCTTCTTTCCTATGGCTCTTCCCTGTTTATTCTCATTTGGAGCCCGTTTTCATCATAGTAACAGAAGTTACAAAGGAACATAACTTTAATTTGCTTTAAAATATTCAATAATTTTCCTAACATATCAGCCTCATATTTAATAATATTGAGCTTGATGTAAATACAGCATCAGAGTTTTTTTTCAGGTTTCAGTAGTACCACACTGAGCAAAACCTAATTAGCCTCAATTCATTATGCTTATTCCACACTTTTAGTAACATTGCTGAGTTACAACAATATGCGCTCCACAGTGTGAAACATAATCTCATGTGAAGACCTAACCTTAATTCAGGTTACTTTAAATATGATTATTTTTGATATTTTAAAACATTTATCAGGCACCAAATATGGAAAATCATATAAGCTTTTTCACAGAAAGTGAGGAAGCAGTAGTAGGCCCTCTGCTCACCTCCATAGGGGCCTAGCTGTGATACTATTTAAGATTAGGCTGCATCTACCTATTAATGAAGACTGTCAAATACCACTATACTTATTCTTCAAGCCCTCTTAGAGGTGAGCCACCTCTGCTTGAGAAGCCATAAAATTAACATTCATATTTAACTGAGAAGTTGACATGTTCTTTGCTCAACTGCTTGTTTATACTATAACTCTATTCCAATTTATTGGCACAGAAATAGAATTATATGGCTTCTAAGTCAGTCAGGATTATTGCTGCTGAGTTGTGAGGCACAATTGTATACCCTTTCCTGCAAGTAGGCTTGATGTTGCCATGCTCACTGCAAAAAAACACAACCAACAGGGAAATGATAAATATAGAACGATACGCCCCCTGATACCCTTCCTCAAAAAGCATGTGGGGAAATGCTTGCATTCTTTCTTGCTACTGTCATGACATCTGGGAAATATATGCTGGTTTATCCTTGGATTGTCACTGCTTTCTTTTGTATCCATGTAGAATACCAAATAATAGTACTTTTTTTTCCAGGGTACTCATATGTGCTCTAACAGTGAAAAGCCAGTAAGACAGCAGTGGCCCCAGGTCCTGATTGTGGATGGGGATAAGTGCAGAATAGGTGTGAGTGTCCTGGGTACTGTTGAACTCTATTGTAAGCCTGGGCTTTGTAGTAAGAAATCGAGTTCACGCTATTGAGCTAAGTCATGAGGATCTCTTAGCATGTGAGGATCTGACATAATACATACACATGCTTATTATGGGTGAGGGGTTCTTTAGTAAAAGCCTCCATGTCCCTTTAAGTCAGCACTTGCAGTACTGCCTGACACATTGCTTACTGAAGCCAGTATGTTTATCTCATTGGCTAAAATTGACATTGTACTGGGACCAAATTAGCCTGAAGGAAAATGCTATTGCACTAAAAGAGTTCATCAACACAAGTAAAAGATTAAACATTTTCACAGAAATGCTGATGCCCATGGAGTGCTTAAGAAAGGGCAAAGGTAGCAAGCAGCTTGATTCCTGTTCTATCTGTTCTGAACTGTGTAAAAACTGTTTTGCTTTTACGATCTAACAGTTTGTTTTTTCTTCATTTGGTAACAGCTCATTTTATTGTAATTATTAATATATGCATTTATTTACTTAATTAATGTTATGCTCTAATGATTGTGGTTACCTGTCAAAAACAAAGTGTCCTTTGCTTTGTTTGCTTTTACACGTCTTCTGTGTAGTAATAATTTCCAAAGACATAAGGAAAGCCACATTATAAAAGCTGACATACACCTACTTTTTATAGTTTTATTTATTTTACTATCTGTGATAATTTTCCTTTACAGTCTGAAGGTCTAAGTCCCACAGTTCACCCCATATAAAAAAGGCAAACTGCCATGGGCTTGTTTAATATTCCCTGCAAGTGTTTTCTCTTCTCAGAGCTAGCTTCTGTTGATCATTAAACTCTCAAATGGTTTTGATCCCCCTCCCATACAATTTCTCTATAAGATTATATCAGATATGCTCTACAGACAGCAAGTGTTCTTGTATCTTGTTGAGCAGCATGTAGAGTTATATGTAGTGCTTATGTAATGTTCAGTAAGAATAAGATTTGCTTCACACAGTTTTTAATTTCTAGTTCTTAACAATGGTAAGTTCTCCAATAATTGAAGTAGAGACAGAATCTAGCCTTACTGTTTTATATTTTCAAAGAACACCCCTGGGCCTACTTAAATGCTTCCCATGACAAGGATACTTGCAATGGGTGAAAGTCAGAGCACCCACCATTCCTTTCCTGTATTGAATCTTCCTTTCTTTAGTGTCTTAGCAAGTCAAGACTAAATATGAAAGGGAAGAAAATACATAAGCACATGGAGCACTCAACTCCTAACCCACTGCTCCTCAAAGCTATGAAGCTTTCTTAATTCTCTGGGATTTATACATTCAGATTAAGAGGAAGTAGTTCCAGTAAAACTCTAAGATTGCAGGAAAATTTGTACTTTACTGCCAAAAGAGAATGCCAACAGCAGCAGGTTTTTGAATACATTGTGGTAAACTTGATCCCAGATTTAAAAAGTAAACTGTTTTAAAACTCCTTCTGTAGGAAACTACTTACATTAATTTTCGTTTTCTTTAACAGAGAAGTTATAAGCAACAGGAAAACCATACAATACTAAATTTAACTCCTGAAATTATTTACTTGACTAACTTTAGTACTGTCTCTTATCTTTTGGTGGCTGGCACCTATACACTTTTAGTAAATGAAGGGAATAGGGAATTCATGTGTGTGTATGCACATTTCTTTTGATAGCTTTCATACCTTTAAGAAGGTATTCTGTAAAACTGATTTTGTATCTTTCTGGACCCCACAAAAAAATCAATTTATAGAGAGCTTAAAACCTACTAAAATATTTAGCTTATGAACATGCTAGCTTTTTATGAGAGGTTGTTCAATGCGTAGTGGATCTGCATAGTTCTTTTGTATCATCATATCAGTGATTTGATTCAACTTGAAGCATACAGGTTCCAACAAGCAGAGAGTTTGTCCTCCACCTGTAGAAAGCTTCAGCCAAAGGAAATATATAAAGTCTTTCCTCACAAAGAGTTGTTTTTTTTTTCGTTTGTTTTTTGTTTTTTTTTTAAGGATCTGATCCTCTATATATATCTCACAAGAACAAAGCCAAGCATATGGTCATATCATTTTGAGTGAGACTTTATCATGATGATGCAGTGCAGTGGAGTAAAGGTATAAATGGCAATACAACTGAATCCTTCAGTTCAGCATCACAACAGAGCTTCTGTTTCCTCCCTTATGTAAATAATGAGAATGCTGAGCAGAATCTGAAGGAATGAGATGAGAAAATTTAGAAACTACTCCCTAGAGACTTCAGTTCACTGTTACAAAATTTCCTAGAAATGACACAGCTTACAATTTTTGCTAGGCTTTCTATGTCTCCTTGATTTTGGCACAGATCACAGTAGCACAACTGACATAGTGAACATGATCTTGTATCCCACCAAACTCTTAAGTATAGGGTATTATATGAACCCTTTTAATCAATTCTCTCATCACTCTGTAGGATCATTGTGCCCCTAGCTCATTTTTCTACTTACATATATTTGCTTCTTCACACATGGCTTTGACCATCAGAGGATGTTGTAAGCGTATTCCATACTGTTTATTCAGACTTTTGCCTCAGGGTAACAAAGGAGATTTCTGTAATGTGGTTTGGAAAGACATTTAATTTAAATAAATGTGGCTAAATCTTTGTGATGTTATTTGTTTGTAAGTATTCTATGTGTTGCAATAATAGCTATACTTTATAAAAACAAACCCAATATAGTATGGGAAACAAACTACTTTGGCAATATTTTCCAGTATACAAAGAAGCACACTTTTGGTTTGCTTTAAAATGGATTCCATCAGTGACCCAAAACTTACCTTTCAGCATTTTCTCCATTTCCTTTAAAATAAATAAAATTTAGAAATTTAGGATGGTACAAGGTATTGACATTATGAAACACTAGTGAGATAATTTGAATATTTTAATAGAATATTTAAATGTTTTAATCATGAACATATTTCCCTAAAGTATCACTGGGAATAGAGCTTAATCATAGTGTAGAAGTACTGCTTTCTGATGAGCTCAAAGCCTCTGTGAGATGAACAGCCTTGTTAGAAAACATACTGTGGTTTCTTATTCTCTATGACATTTCCATCCAAACAGAACGTACACTTTTCAAAGAATTAGTGAAACTTAAAGATACTATCAAACAGAAAACAATTTTGTCCCAAGCTGCTTAACTGTGCACTCATGAAGAAAACAGACTGGAAAAGGCACCTAAAAGCTAATGTATCTTATCCAAAGGAAGAGACTTGCTCAAATTTCAGAGTGAAACATATTCAGTGGGTAAGCACACCTGGAAAAAAAAAAAAAAAATCCTTAACTCTCTATTCATTAAAACTCTTCAGTGAACTGAAAGAAAATGGTTTCAATAAAGCTTACTAATGCAAATCAAGCTTATTGATTCAATTTTCTGTCTCCAATAACAATTTCTCAAGATGTGGACCTTGAAACTGAACTAAAACTATTGACCTTGATTGTAGTTGACCTTGAGCCGTTGTAGTGAGAAGCCTGCCACCATGTCTGAAATGGTAACAACTGGTCTTGACACCTTACCAGGTATACATAAGGGCATGAGCTGCTCCCCTCTGTCAGCCTGTGAAGAACTAATAAGAAAAACAAACAAAAAAACATAGTTACATAGTTGATGCACTGTTTTTGGTAACCCAAAGGGCACCCTCAGTCATCACCCATGTGAACACCCTCTCCCCCCCAGTTATTTTGTGCATAACATTCTCCAGCCTGTTTCAGATGCTGTTCCACTTTGCATAAGATAATTAAATATTTATGGGATCAGCAAATAGAATCCAGATGTTCTAACAACTGAATGCACTAACAAATGTTATGAAATCATTTCATGCACTGGTAGAATAAATACTCAGGCAGAGCAGAATCAATGTCACACAGCAGTTCATCCCAAGACACTTCCTAGCACAGTCCTTAGGACACACCATTAGCAGATACAGGTTCAGCTCTCCCCGGGGCAGGGCAATGGCTCAGAGCTGAAAAGTGCACTGTGCTACTGAGTACTGAACTTGGGAACAAAAGTGAGGCAGGACTCATTGTAAAGGATGCAAGGACTAGCTCTTCACTGTCACTGCTTTGGCTGAAAGTCAGTTGATTTCTTCTTAGTTCTCCATTTTAGAAAGGAAAAAAAAAATAAATCAGAACTGGTTTAAATGCTTTCATTTAACCAAATGATGATTTATTTGTTCCTCTCTTCCTGCCAAATTATTTCTGCTCTCTTTTGACATTTGTCTTTGAACCTTCTTCCACTTCAGTACAGGGAGCTGTTTCCTTCCTTGCTTTATTTCTCTTCCCTTTCAAGAAAAAAAAAAAAAAAAAAAAAAAGTAACTTGCCTTACTGTGGTTTAAAAAACAAACAAAACTACCTTCTCAATTCCTCCTTTGTATTTCCCAGTATATTTTATGTATGTCTGTTACCTGCGGCCTTATTGGAATTGATTTCATCTTTAAAATATGTAAAACTACTCAAGGGTTAAAATAATAATAATAATAATAATAATAATAATAATAATAATAATAATAATAATAATAATAATAATAATATATTTCCAATGTGTGAGCATCCCAACATTTCTAATTATCATGAAGAATGGTGATGATGGATGACAATCAGAAGTCATCAAACAGAGGAATGAGAAGTCTTGCAATCGCAACCCAGAGGAAACACCATGGAAGACATTTTTCAAAACCAGAAGCAAAATACATTAATCCAAGATGAGGACATAACCAGTCACTAGATTAAGTTGTTCATTTCCCAGCACTGACAGTGGTACTAACAGTGTTGCTTTCACCAGATCACCAGAGTAGTATTTAAACCAAGATAAAATCTTGAAGCTGTCAGGGTTGTAATTAGAGCTTTCTTAGAAAGTAATTTTCTTGGGGAAAAGTGGATTCCAGAGCAAAGACCTCACACAAGCCTCTGGCATACATATTTTTCTGACAAATCCATACTTTATAGCTGAGTATTATATCCATCATCTCCACTGAGATGTCACACTCTTTCTTGATTATATCACTTAAAAATATGAAATAAGAAACAGATATGTTTATCTCCAGCTTATCTCCATTAGAACTAAACATGAAGGCATCAAAATCAGCATCCAGGTTTTATGATATCACATTCAAGAACACAAATGTCATCAGCCTGTCCTAACTATAGGACAGGCTGTGGTTTGTTATTCATAGGACCCTAGCATTCAGGTGGAACCAGAGCATCCATGTGGTCCAGTTCAGCTTTTATTTTACAGTGGATACTGTTGTCAGGATGTTTAGAAATACATATATACACCTATGGTCCATCTCTTCTTGATGAGCTCTTTGCCATCAAACTCAATCTTACTAGAACTAAGTTCTTATTTTTCCACCAATGCCTCTGCTCTTCTTTCAATACAGTAAATGAAGTTTGTATGCTCTGCCACTCCCATCACAAAGGTTCACAGTCTCAGAAGTCACTTTTCATTTTGCATCTCCTTTTCTTTTTAAAAGATAGCAGTGCTATTACCAAGTATTGTTAACTCTTGTTCCCATCCCCTCCTAAATATCATCGTCCTGGTTTTTCATCTCAGAACAGGGCCCACTGTAGGATGTACCATACAATGAAACCCTTTTCAGACTACCTAATTCAGTCTAAAAAAATGCTTCAAGAAAATTTCCTGTCTATATCTCTGCTTTCATTTCTTTCTGCTCACTATCTGAGTTCATCTTATCATTCAATTTACAGTGTTTACTGACTTACCTCCATACCCTCTCTTCACTGAGGTCCTGCATTCACTCCTTAGTGTGTTTTTTTTCCATTACTTATTACTTATTACTTATTATAAATCTCTTCTTATAAAACATCACCTACAAAATATTACTATAGCAGTACTGTAAGTAAAGTAAATTTTACACTGCATCTGATGGCACATTGTCTGAAATATTTTGTTTATGCTTGCTTCTTTGAACAAAAAACACTATGCAAAGGAGCATGTACTCTTTTGTTATAGTGGTTACTCTTTGTTATAGTACTAACTGTGTTGTCAAATAAACAGCAATGATATTTCATGGGCAGATGTAGTGCTTGACTGCACATCTGTGAGTTGAGCAGCATGTGCATTCCTCTCTCCTGCACTAGGGCTAGGGGAAAAGATCTAAAAAAAAAAAAAAAAAAAAGGAAAAAAAGGGAGAGAGAGAGAGAGAGAGAAACTGTAATCAAGGGATTTATGACAGATTGACAGATATTTTATTTATTGATTTAGTGATGTATTACAACTCTAATACTAATTCAGTTACAGTAGCCAAAATGGACATTGATATTTCCCTCACTATTTCCCTCACCTTTCCTCTTCCCTAAAATGAACGCAAGTGTCTTCTTTGTGTATCAGTAGTTAAGGTATCACTTATCAGAGTATTTATTTGCATATATCCAGATTCATTGAACAAGGCTCTAAAATTCTTGGTTTTGAGTGTATTCTTCCAGATCTTGTCCTCTGTTTTGTCTTACACTAGAGAGAGAGAACTTTTATCTTAAACTATACTTTTTTCTTCAATATTTCTCTTTTGCTTTCCTGTGTTTTTATCTGTTTCATTCCTTTTTCCCAGCTTACTTCAGATTACAAAATGGAATTTGAAGATATTTACTAAACTGTCTATTTTGTTGCATCTCTATAAATCCATCACTGATATTAACATTATTAACTTACATATATGTTTAAGGTAATCATAAGTAGAGGTACCCAACATCCTTACTCAGCTACCTTTTTATTTTAAAGGACTCATGCCTGCTGCATTCCAACCTGTGTACTGTGCTACAAAGCATGGTGTAATTGGATTTACGCGCTCAATAGCAGTAAGTATATATTTTTGAAAACAGAGTCAGCAGCTCCTTGGGACATGCTAAGTTTTTCATGCTCCCTCTTTATTGTCACATAACTGGAACTAATTTTCTTAAAGCAAATAGTGTCTGAAGTGCTGGAGGTTCCCTTCTTCTACAAACAGAATCTAAAGATGGAATAAGTAAGGCATGTGCGTGTTTATGAACAATTTGAAGTTTAGGAAGATTTAGGGAACACAGGAGAGACATTGTAAAATAATATAAGGACAGCAGGAGGAGCCCAGAAGTCAGGCATTCTTTTCCAAGCTTTAAAAAAATATTTTTCATAACTTCATCCCAGTCATTTAGCATTTTGTTTTCCTTATTTGTAAGCCAGGTTGATTACTGTCTCTTTTTTTTTTTTTTTTTTTTTAATGATAAACAGGTACTAAAGAGTGCAAAAAGTGATTGAACACAAATATGTTGGCCATTATTTATTCTTACCAACTTTTAACACACTAAAAATGTAAAATGACACAGTTAGGATGGGATGTGTTAGATAGTATATGAGCACATCTTAGTCTGACTCCAAAATTTTCCAGTCAAACCAAACAGTATGAGAAAATAACTTGGAGATACTGAAATATAATTACATTTTCATAGATTAAGCAGTCTATTTATAAAAGAATTCCAAACTAATTTCCAGAATAAAGCACCTGAAAAAAATCATTTTGATAGCTATCTAGATTTGATTCCCCTACACTCCACACAAATTACTCCTTAAGATTAAGCTAAACAGCACACTGTTGTACATGTGAGATGTTGTACATCTCATATTAGCCACAGAAAGAACTTCACACCTGGTTTTCTAGTTTTACTTTCACATGGTAATGTAATTTAACATCAGGTCAAAAATAAAAGAGTCCACAGAAAATTAGAGGAAATACTGTCTTTCTATTGAACATGATACAGTTGAGAAGAAAAAGAACAATAAACTATACTTACCAGGAAAGGCAGTCCAGCCTAACATTGTATGGGTGTGATACAAAGTGTCTATGACTTCATTTTCTTTTTTTCTCAAACTGAAAGGGCAAACTACCATATCATGAAAATGAAATGTGATTTACATGATACCGGAAAGGGTTCCTGTAAAATGTAAAACATATATGGAATTTAGTTTTGAACAATTATGGTTATTCTTGGATGTATCCTATACAGTTCATAAGGTTTACGCAATTGTTAAGAAAGTTCATCCAGCATTCAACCTGGCTGCTGATCAGACTTCTCCTTTGCTACAAGAATGAACTGGTAGCACCACAAAGGAAGGATCCAGCCAGACATTTTGCTTACTTTCGTCATATTCCTGAGCTGCATCATGAAAAAAAACCTGCCCCTTTCCTGTTCACAGGGATTTTCCAGTGTGTATATACTTGGTGATAGATTTCTTCCTTGGCAGGGAGAATAAAACAGCTGTAAAGGTTTAGCATTACTGCTTTAGCGGTACAGGCCAAATCTTATTTCAGTTGAGTTGAGGTAGGTAAATGACACGTCAAATTTGGGGGAAAAACAGATATATGGAAAAAAGTGTGTTAATTTCTTGTATAATTGTTCTCTCAGCAAAATGGATGTTGGAAAATAAAAATATAATTACTAGAAAAAGCATACTTCAAACTTAGATGTTGAAACAATTTGTTTTACAACAAATTTGTAACAAATTTTGCTAACCAGGAAAGTCTGAAATATACTTACTAATAAATCTTATTATTTGAAAAATTAGATGCACAATACCATTTAAAAATGTTGATGATGAATACCTAACCTCCTCTTTTCTAGTTAGCTGCTAACATAGAGAACTATGGTGTGAGACTCAACACAATTTGTCCAGGATTTGTCAACACGCCGATTCTACAGTCAATAGATAAAGAAGAGAATATGGGACAATACTTCTCATACAAAGATGAGATCAAAAATATGATGCAGTTCTATGGCGTCATGGAGTAAGTCAAGTCACATACAATGTTTTTTGACCCTTGTAAATGAAGAACAAGTACACTCATTAACATTTTCAAGTGATTCTCAACAGGCAAAATTAAAGTTAAGAAAGGGAAATGCTGTCTCAAACCAAAGTCAATCAAATGTGTTATCCTATACACAAGGGAATAATGGCAGATACTTAAGGCATCACATACTTAAGAGCATCACCTATTTAGTAATAATACCCTTTATGCATTCCCAATTCCAGCAAAATGCAAATCAAATTCCTGAATTAAAGACAGTGTATTAGTTTTTAATAGTCTTTGGTGGATTGTTCCATCAATTTGTTTAATCAAACTTCTTATGAGATTCAGGGTTTGGTTTCCACAACACCTGGAATTGAAACAAGATAGACGTCAAACAACGAACCAAACTGGACTAAGTTCATAAAAGCACAGTACCAACCATGGTGGATCATATCAGTCATCACCTAGACCATTAAGGTATTGCCAAAAAAGGACAAAAGCAGATACCTAGGAAAAAGTACATGAAGAAGACAAGCCTAAAGTGATATTTCTAGAATGCTTTCTCGGTCTCTTAACAATTAGCTGCTCACTTCCTTCTACACAAAGGAAACCTGTGTTGTTTTGCCTGTCCTTTTTCATATGTCAGATATATTGCATCTATTAACCACAACAAACCGATGTGACAAAGTTCAACTTACTGTCAGCCCTGCTACAATAACCAAGATAAACAATCAACAAGGAGCTGCAGAGGATTGCGAAAGGGTTACTTCTGCCCTCTTCCCCAGAAGAGAAAACTTCAGCAGCACCTCTATATCCACAGGGATGTGGATACCTACAGCAAATAAATGATGATTTGTAAAGCTGCAGCCTTATGTTGTATGTCATGACTAAGGAGAAAAATTCTCTTCTGAAACAATAATACCACTTTTGCTTTTCTGAAAACAAATTTGTTCAAATTTCAGATTAAGTTCCAGGGTGTATAGATTTACCTTCAGTTTCCATACCTGTCCTTTTCACATGTTCTATTACATCAATATTCCAAGATTCTTAAATAACATCCACCTCTCCCTTTTTTTTTAAGCCCATCGATAATTGCCGAAGGATTGATAACAATAATTGAAGACGATACGCTAAATGGAGAAGTTATGAAGATTACAGCATCCCAAGGGATTCATTTTCAACAATACAGCCAAACGCCTTATACATCATCGAAGAGATAAATCTAATTGTTTTGTGCTAATTATCTTTTGCTTTTCTTAAATAGAAAAAATGTTGGAAAAAATAACTTTTGGAAAAAATGTTAATTTTGTATCCAGAGTAGTGACAGTATTCAAAATTATTCTAATAACAGAAATGGAGAAGAAAATCCATCTCTAGGGATGAGGAAGATGTTATCATCCTACTTTGATTCTACATTTATTCAGTAGAACAAGCACACTGCTCTGAAGATTTCTGATTATGTAGTAGTAAGGGCCAGTTTTTTTCCTTCCAGTAGTTCTGTGCAATTATCTGATCTACATATTCCATGTATATTTTTCTGGACATGACTTAGTATAATTCTTCTCACTGTACTAAGTGCCTACTTATTTACATCCTGAATTCCTCAAACCAGGAATTCAGTTCAGGACTCCAGAAGAAAAATATACCTATAAAAAAATAAAAAATTACTTTTTCTTATATGAAATATGTAAAATAGAACAAGAAGCGAACTTCTCTTTCCTCATTGATATATGAAACTGAATATGTAGCATATCATACAAGGAAGTACAGAATTTTCTCTTCTTGGATTTTAGCTATTTATAAAATACTTCTGAAATATTTTTTCTTTTATATATAAATATATATATATATGTGAAATTTCTCTCTTTGTATATACAAGGATGAATATTTTGGCATTGATAGAAATGTCTATTTACTCATCAAATCTCATTTTCTGAAACTTTAAATCTAATCTCCTGCCTTGATTGATTAAAACCTGAATTAAATCCTGAGTGATCTGTTTATTTTATATTTTGTATGTGTCCATTTTGGTGCCGTGACTTCTTAGATGGAGCATATCATATAATGGCAATGGAGCTAAACTTCTATTTTCTGAGCTCCTCCGGACCCTCTGATCTAGCTCAATCACTAGTTATACTTATGAAGCAAACCTATAGGCTCCATTCCTGAATAAAAATACAGTTGTGCACAGTAATTTATATATTCATAGCATAAGATGATGTAATAACCCCTAGCAAAGCTAGGAAAAAATATGTCACCCTCCTTAGTAGTGACTTTAATTTCAGTGATTTAAGCATTGTTGTTGGTTTCCTTTCTTTTTTTCAGGATTATAACTAAAGAGTGGAAGCACTAATATTTATCTTCTGTGGAAGTCAGGGAGTAATAAGACTGTGGGGAGAAGAAAAGAAGCAGACACACATACCTTGAATTACTCACCATTCTCTCCCCATGTTCATTTTCGGCTGTTAACACTGATACTTTTAAAGCCTATTTACACATGATCATATCCATACCATCAGCATTCCTTAATGAAGCTACCTGACTTGATAGTATTAATTTCTATTTCTATTTCATTAACATCAGAGCAGGATACAGAAGATCTGAATATTTCCTAATATGTGAATAAACAGCACAAAAAAAAACATGACATAAAGCAAACTTTAGTCAGGTCCTAATACTGATAATTGCCTACCTCTGCTTCTCTCCTTGTTAAGTGGTATTTCAGGACAGCTTACTAAAAAGGGAATATATAACAATAATGATAGCATACGCAACTAACTAGCAAAGACCACACTACGTTAGACAGTATCCCAGCAGTTGCTCTTAATAACATGCTTCAACTAATGCTGGGAATACCGTATAAAGTCAGTACATGTACTGAACATATACTGTTGCCTTGACCGCTTTTGTTCCTTGGTGCCCCAAAACAAATATCTGTTAAACATGGAGGCGGTCAATGAAAGAACAAATACTAATCAGTTGTAATTAAAGAGTGCAAATAATAGAATAGAAGGTCAGAATTCTGATGTTTTGGAAGAAAATAAAAAAAAAAAAAGAAAGAAATACAGAGAGGAAAGAAATTTAAAGTTAATTAGAGCCAATCACTTTAGATATTGCAAAATTAACTGTGGTGTTTCACTGGTACAAAATTCTAAATCTATGAATTGGTACAATTCTAAGAATGGATTCAGTTTATGTGGTATATCAAATAGTCACGCAAGACAAAATCAGATTAATAAAATATACAGTTAGACTCCAGAACACCTGGAAAATCAGTGACTATGTTTGGGAAAGAATTAAAGCCATATCTTTCTTATACATATAGGTCTTTTATTCTGGATTATTTTTGTAACTCAAAAACAGAAGTTTTTGAATCAAAACCATATAGCATTCCTTCATGAAGGGTAAAGACTGCATTCAGTTCCATCTGATATGGAAGTCTCAGAATGTAATACAGGCTTATTTGATCAAATAAACATTTATACCAAAATAAATCTCAAATTATTAGCACATCTGGAACTCACTAAAAGAAACAAGGAAGTAACAATGAAGTAAAACTCCTGATGCAAATTCTAAAAGGAAAAAATAGCCATCAAGCCTCTACTTTTTAATTTAAAAAAAAAAAAAATGCCCCAAACCAAATATTGTATTTTTCTAGTTTCAGTTAGCCTGTATTAAAACACATCTGAGGGTTTCATCTGTGCAGGAAGAACAAGTCCTAAATATGTTTTGGAAAGGCTTCCTGTAAGACTTCCCCCCAAACTTTGGAAGTCTTCCAGAAAGCAAGAGAAAGAGCATATGTTTGATTTACAGACAGAAACACCCGGAGTAGCAGTAGGTAGAAAGATGAGCTAAAGGGAGAAAGTAAGCTTCATTTTGCACAAAGATTGTTTTGAAACTTTGTCTTCAGTTAAAAGTCTTGACATAATTCCAAGACTTAATTTATTTTGCCTGGGAGATCATCATTTTAAGACAACTGTTCCAGTTCTTAACGGAAATTTAGCCAAAAGAAAAAATAAATATTTTAAATTAGAGATGCTTATTGCCAAGAACATAAAATGACAAGTAATAAGCTAGACTCAAATGGTGATCATTATTTGTAATGAACATTCAATGCTATGGTTCTATACAATACAAGCTTATTTCTCAGAATGTCCTTAGTCTCAATCTGGAATCTCTTCAGGGGAAAGAATAAATATTACACTTTTTTCACTTATAATTCCACATGAAAGACCAGTTCATAAGACATTTCCACGCTTCTGTGACATTACAATGTTAATTTATTTATATTATTTAGTGCCTTGATTCAAAGAAGTCTTTGGGAAAATGTACATAATCCCAATCACCACAATAATTATGGTTCTGTACAGCTCAGGAACCTGAAATTGACTTTTTTTCTTATGCATATCAAAATCGTATGTGTCAATTTTATTATTGAGGGAGCAATCCAAGCAGTAACTAGTCCTCCTACTAGTTTACTTTAATTAAGGGAGGCTTGTTGTGTGAGGCTAGGCCTCTTTCTCTTGTTTGGGACATAAGCTTTGCAAACAGAAAACTAAAAAATAAACTTCATTGTAACTAATATCTGATTTCCACTGAAGTCTTCCATACGAGCCTAATCTTTAAGGGAACAGCATTAGGCATGTTCTAATGCCATGGCTTTGGGGCAGGATGGGGTTATTCTGACAAATAATTATTTCCTTCCTCCAGCATTGAACTGCTCTAAACTTTCTACAGGATGATTCTCTAAGCTTGAACTTCCCTTTTAGCCAAGTCTATTTGCTTTGCATCAAGAGATGTTGACAGTTTGCGGCTCTGGCTCCAGAAGTCCAGATGGTTCAATGAAAGTGAAGGATAATATCATATGACTTACTGTTTTGGATTTTTTTTTTCTCCAGTACAAAAAAGGAACAGTTTAATATCAGGTCAGATCTGTAATTTAAACTGATGGGTACAGTAAACATAGAGTTATGCTCTTTCTTTGAAGGGGACAATAAACAGTAAGACAATGGGGCAGGTAAAGAGATATAAGAAGTAAAAGTGCTAAAAGAAAAAACAGGCCAAACCTAAAACACATCTTTAAAATAAGCAGCTTAATCCCACTGTGTATATAGAAAGCCATTATTCTGAACTGTGTACCAAATCTAAGCTGAAGTGTCTTCTGACTTGTGTACAGAGACAGTCTAACATACTATTTTTAGGGATTCAGAGGATAAGATGGAGATTTTGAGTGAAAATAAACCTTAATGAAAAAACATAACCACTTTCAAGCAATCATGCTTTAAGCAGTGAAGCATTCATAACTTGTATTGTAAAGGACCTGTATTCAGGTCCTTTAATTATTCATAAACTGTGCTAATTCATCTGCTGGGCAAATCTGATGGAGAGTATTATCAGTGAAGAGGCAGAATTGATTTCTTAGTACAGAATTGTACTTTCTCAGCTTTTACTTTCATCAGAGGTTTTCTAGCCCTCCTAATTTTATCCAGAAGAGAGATCACTCAGGGAAGGACAGTCATCTGGTGATAGGTCTGACACCTGGGCCAGGATTTCTGGATGGCTTTAAGCCATCCAGATTTAGCCTTGTGAAGCAGTAATTTAGCATAGTCATATCCAAGCAGAATGTAAAAGATCCATCAGACACTCTAATCAAACCCTTGCCACTTCCCTTTCTGTATCTTTCCATTGGACAACCATGAACACAAGCATTTCAGCAATAGATAAACTCCAGATATACCACCACACAACTGCCTCTCTTCAGCAGTCACCAAGAACATACTCACCCATTTCACTGATTTCAGACAAACTGAAAGGTCATTTTTTCAGCTCACATGATGCTCCACAGGAATGGCCCAAGATACTTCAGTAGCACTTTTCTTTGTGATGCATGTTTGTCTGAGCAGCCACAATCTTGAGAAACTAAAGAAAGAAGAATAGGAAATAGCGTTCTCAGTTACATGTCTTTGACCTTTCCCTATAGCACATGAGAATAAGCACACTTCTGCCTGGTTTCAGAAAAATTGCAAAACCAACAGTGCACTTTCCCACAGCTGCAAACAAAACCTACAGAAGAGAAGAGGAAATAAAGATATTTTTAGAACACTGGAATTTATAACTCTTCAGAAAAAGCTATATTTTAGCTCATCTAGATATTTCTATTTACATAAATGACTAAGAGTTCAGGATGTTGTACACCGTCTGACTTTGAAGAGGTATTGCAGCAATTAACCTTGTATACACATGAATGCTGCAGTTCAAGAGACCCACAGGTGGGCAGAGAACATTGAAATCTCTGCCACTTACTCTGGTATAGCTCTTATAAAAGTGAATCAGCTTCCTTGTATAGAATCCTTCTGGCAATTTCACTTCAAATAGATACAGGGTTCCTTTATGGAGCTCTTTTCTTCTCTGAATTTGTAAGTATGTTTGAATACATTGCCCTCAGCCACGCTTACAAATTAGTCGCACTTATCAAAAATATTCCATTTATTTTGATTTAAGAGTTACTTTCCTTGGTATGCATTAACAAAAGGCTAGAGAAAATGGAGCTATGTTTTCACACATGCTCGGTGCTTGAAATGAATGTTACATCAAGCACTTCATCTTACACTCACATTTTCCTTGAGAAAGAACAGTACATATTGACATTTTACAGGGACTATAATGCTTTCATTTTTACACCTTCAGTACATGAGTGTATATTACATACATCTCACCACACATATTTGTGTCTGCATAACTACACACACAATAGGAATTATTTTTGTAATGGAGCAGCATACGTTATCTATGCATGTACCTGAAGCTAGAAACAAAAACAAACCAAAAATAAATAAATAAATAAATAAATAAATAAATAAATACATAGATGAATGAATAAAAAGTTGTAAAGCATTATTTTTCAGTGACATTCATCTGCCAGACATTTGGTGAAGTTACAGAATACACTTAAAAAGCTGTATGAACTGTTTTTTAGTTTTATCTAGCCTAAGTTTAATTTACAATTTC